ATTATCCAAACAACCTTTCTGGCATGGTAGGACCTGCAGGAACATAAGTTCCAGCCAGTATAGCTTGTTGGGTCATTGCAGTGTTCAAGCCCGACCACCACGTCAAGGTAGCAGCTTTCGGTCGGGCAGGGAGTACTGGACATCTGTTTCGTCCTAGTTTGGGACTCTTCATCAGTACGCACCCACCGGGATTCAAAACCAGGACCAGGCATACTGCGTACTGATGAAGAGTCCCAAACTAGGACGAAAAAGCTGTCCAGTACTCTCTGTTGGTTTTCCAATGGTTCTCTAACTGATGTCAGCTCATGATGAAATCCTCCATCGAATCAAACTAAATCCCTACAAAACCAATTCCTGAATATATAGAAGACAAAAAAGCCATTGAACGAAGAATAATCTTATTGATAACTTCCTCATCCCGTCCTATAGTTATATACACATAATAGTTAAGAACAAAAGATTATAGTTTGACTGCACCTATGGAGCTAGATTTCATCAGGAGTACGATTAAGCATTTTTATCATTAGACCTCTGAACATCATCTTGAATATATTGGTTAAGCAAGGGATGAACAAGGTCCATTCGTAGCTCCGTTTTAACTCAGCTTTTAGTTGATGAAAATGAAGTTGATGTTAAAAAAGGAATTTCGCGGTTATCTGTCGTACTCCGGCTAATCTTAATTTTGCCTTAAAACTTCGGCATCCATACATAGCTTTGAAATTACCGGAATTCATCTGAAGAAGCAAAACTTATATGCTTTGAAACATTTCCATCATTACTTGATTGTAATAATCTAGCGATTTCTCCTTCGCTAAATGAGCTTTCTACAAGTTATTATTGTTTTAACTATCCTATTATTATGCCTTTTAGTTGTTGCATTATTTAAATGTGTGTAGGTGGCACAGTGGCAGAATGCCCACTAACCACTCAGGTGGTTTGATCCCTGACCACAGGCGCACTCCTTTACCTCGCTAAACCGGTAAAAAGTCCGGTAAAGAGGGAAGGTTGGGCATGAGGCTAGCAACCCACTCCGTAGAAATAAAACCACTGCTACCGAAACTTCAAAGGTCTAGCTTGAGGGCCTAAGTTCCACTGGGAACGTAAAGGAATAAAAAAAGTTATTCAGGCAAAGTTAAACTTTAAGCACCACTAAATACCAATCAGCAAATGACCTCGAACCCACCAATCACTGAACAGGCATTTTTGTGTATTGAATACAAATATTTATGAAATAATGCATAAAAACTGTAGAAAAGTTTTACAGAGGATACCTTGCCCTCACATTTGATAAAAATAGCTCTCACTTTTAGGTTGGAGTATCAACAGAGTGTAATTCCATTGTGAGTAAAATTTATTTTGATAAAGTCTCACAGTGTTATACAGTAATATTTACTGAGCAATAAATTGTGCTCGAAACGTCATCAATAAATATTATTGTATGACACTGTGAGACTTTATCAAAATAAATTTTACCCAAAATAGAATTATATTCTACCGCAGTGCACATGTTCTATTCTTTTATCAACAGAGTAATTGAACCACATTCTATGCATGTAATTATTGAGGTCTTCTAATCATAATAATGACCCCAATCTTTCCTGTACCTAACCCTAACGTGAAAATATCCCTAAAATGTAATCTAACTCGGTTCGACTCAGCTCAATCAGTTGGAACCATTCGATTTCTGACTAGCTACTTGAACAAACTGGTGGTAGCACCATAAATCGAATTTACAAAATAGTTTGTAGTTGACACGATTCGAAGTCAAATTTCATCCTAGTTTCCTTTGAAAAATGGAATTATTTAGATGAGACAATATGATATCCACTTGATAACATAAATGGTGCTCAAGAAAGTAAGCATATTGACGGAGGGGGTTTCGCTAGTTTTGAGCTGAGCTCGACAGCAGTCTACCCGATTTAATTCAGCACAGAGAGGAGATTTGGTTTAAACCACCTGATTGCCTTTCTTATGACTATCATTTATGGCATTAGGTAAATAATCTATTATGATCTGAATAATTGCAGTTTTCACCAAGGCGTATCTACAACCTTGAAGGAACTCATGTCCCTTCTGAAATTCGAACCCGCGTCACCAAGTGCTACAGTCAGAGACGTTACCACTGAGCTATTCAGGCTCGCGATTGACTTCCTGTAGGACTACAGTGGGTAATTTGATTGGACACCAGTAACTAGTGTGACGTGTTGCAGATACGCCTTGCTGATGAGTGCTAACTAGCACGAAACCTAGGTTCAGGGCTTCCTGCCAATTGCCTCCAACCATCTAATATCATCAAATCAATGTGCATCGTGATGGCGAGCCGCCTAGAATGGTGGCCACATTGCAAACATGACTCACAGAATTCAGTCCGCACCAAAGAAAGGACTAGACACGTCACACTAGTTACTAGTGTCGAATCAAAATAATTGCAGTTTGCCAGGAAAACTACATTGAAATTTTACTTAGAAATGGGTAAATTGTAAATTAATTTGCGAATCTGATTTGAGCAAGTACACTCGCCTTATTGTAAAGTTATCATACAAGCATACTTACCTTTCCAGGTGAGCCAATTGGTTCAGGAGAACAGACAATTAAATATATTTCCGGATAATAGATCCCAGCATCATCCTTCTCATCTTCAATATCATCTTTACTGTTGGATTTTGTAGTCTCCTCCCATTTTAAAGATAAAGCGCAGAGAATATCGCTATTCTGTTGTCGTATCAACAATGGCCAAGGTAAGTCTATAGGATGAGACCATATTAGTGTCTAATTAAACGAGGAAAGAAATAATTAGTTAATCAGGGTAATTTGCTCAATACTAATCAAAACAAGCGATAACCCTATATACATTTACAGTAGATAAATAATCTTTCAGGAGATCCGTTCTCAAATACTATCACAGGAATACATCAAGTAAACGAATGCCTTGTACAGAATTATTTTCTCTGCTAAGTTCCACAAATCGATGTCAGTTATTGATTGGAAGCAAAATATCTTCAAGAACAACATCCTTATCGCATATGACGAACACATTGTCTGTCTTCATACTTGCCTTACAAGATCTACCGACAAATCGTCTAAACATCTCAACCACTCACTGAAAACGACAGTCTGAATAACTGGATTTCAACACAGAAGCGCAGTAGTTTGCACCGCTGCAATCCATGTAGCGCACAAAGGTAGACAAAATAGAGGGAAAAAGCAGATTAGAAAGGGTTATAGTGAGCAAAAATGCGAAGGAGAAATAAATAATTCCATAGATAAACATGACAGTCTAGTGGATATGAGAAACCATAAAGCATGAACGTAATTGTGTCATTGACAACGATTTTAAGCCATATCACGAACGGTATCCAGCCCCATTGGTTTTTAGCATACTGAGGTTATCCAACCAGACAGTCTACACCTTTCTGCATAGCTCAATCTCACGAAGTGACACCAGGTTTTGATTCAACCAATCTCCAAACTCTTTTTTAATCTAATCCTATATCAGCTAATGATGTTGGACGAGGAGAGCGTTGGCTCGGAATGTGTGACACATGTCCTAGTTATGTCAACCGATATATCTTCACAGCTGCTTCATTGATTGGAAGTACTACTTTCATTGAACCTTTATTATGTGCGTGTGTTAGTTACTGTTATTTGTTCTTTGGGTTTTTAGTAGAATATAGGGCTTCAGCTACATATCTCCACTTAAATCGGTTCTCTTTCTTGTTTTCTGTATGGCTCTACGATCCCTTCGATGTCGCCCTCGGATTAACGCACAACTCATTGTTTACCACTCAAGATTTGTGTGTTACGTAGATTACCATTATTTTTCTATCACGTAAACTAAAACAGTATTAATAATCACCCCTAAACACATAATTGATTTGTAATAATATTCATTTGCATATATATCAAAATGTTTACGTATATGTAACAAACCTTTTTCTTAGTAGTCTCAGTGGAATTAATTCCAATACGTAATTTTATACGAAATGCATGCCCCGCAGGTGAAACTGGTCCAGGGAATACAATCGGCCTCCAGTTAACACATTCTCTAGGCTTAATTGATATGTCGAATAAACTATTCACTGGATTGAGAACTTCAGAATTGGATATTGTTGGTGTACCACCCTCCTCAGAGGAATATTTGATTAAGGGCAGTTGATCCAGAATGATAGACTTGATTGTAAACAGTAGAAAAGGGAAAAAGGAATAGGCGATATAAAAAAGATAATGAATATAAAACAGTACTTCATTAGGAATTCGAATTCGTATCAATGAATATCGAAGTCAGTAACATTAGGCAGTTTGGCTGACGACTGATATATCTGAAATCTGGATTATGCATGTGATCACCACCTTACTGAGAAACATCAACTACTATAAACAAGGTCCTCAAAACTTATAAAAATCAAGTAACCATCCAACTATTGGACGAGAAATGCAAAGTCAAGTTTTGTTTGATGGATGCTGATTAGCAGTGGAATTCCAGATGCACGTCTCGTCTTACGTGGGACTCATCATCCGGATGTAACTGCAATCTCAAGTGACTGATAGTGTTTCCACTGGGACTCAAAACCTTCACCAATCACTTGGGCCACGAGAGCCACCTACTGTAGAACAGTTATAACAATGGATGTTGGTTTATAGTCTCAGGGGGGAACATCATCACTCATTGAGAAATGCAGCTGTTTTCAGTCGATGAATTCACCAAATAGGGCAAAATAAGCATACTGGATTCCACTCTTTGTCATTCATTATCCACCGAATAACAACAAGTTAGTCTTTAGACGTCGTCAAAACGTCCGAACAAGAAGGCAACATATCCAAAGAGGCTAACTACTTCAGTTCAATCATTCAACGGCAAAATCAAAATTGATTTACACAAATAAGAAGTCAAGTTTCATGCAGAAATGCAAAATAGAATAACTTAGTAAAAGCAACTTTTGTGACATAAAATAAATTTATTTTCTTTCATACAATTTTCACCAGCTATTCTCAACCTGAATGACTAAGTAATAGATCATTGTGACGTAACTTTGTTTTGAAACACTTTAAATGAATTCCGAATTCATTCTGTCTATCATGAATGTTAAACAGGTGTCAGAGAGTCTACGCATCAGATGTTCAAGTTCATTTAGCAGCTCCGACTCCAAAAACTGTACACATCCCGACTACCTTACGGCGGTCCGTAACCGGCGATAAGTTTACTAATAAAGAACCAATCCAAGAAACCAGTTCATACAGGCCGTGTGTGACTGGCCTTAAGCAGTTGTCTCCTAGGCTCTGCAGTCACGCAACACTAATCCTCTTTCTGTTTCAGGTACTCGAAAAATCAATCAACTTCCATAGTGTGTGGGCAGCCGGGAAGTAACAATCGCCCACACACCTCTAAAAGCACACGAGGTCCTCCTGAGCGTCATTCTTTACCCTTACTAATCTTAGCCTTTTGAAAGTGACTATTTTCTCAAAAAGGTAAATATAAATAAATTATAACATTGATTAAGTAATATAAGTAAGCACAATTTTAATATCTCACCTGATTTGTATTATTAACTATAGTCCAACCAAGAGGTGAGTGATCATTTGATGATATAGAATTACCATCATCATTATCACAAGTTGATATGTTCAACTCATTTCGTGATCTATTCATAATCTCAAGAATACTTAAATATTCTCTCGTATATTTTTGTAATCTTTGCTTCAATAGACCAATACTGATTAAACGATCTGAACTAATAAAAATACTCAGTGATCTGTAGAGAATATTCATGTTTTGATTACACAAAGCATGACATGAGAAACTCTCACCGACAATAGATTGTTGAAGTCTTGCCCAATTGACATCAGCTGTTAGTAGGGTATGCTTGTCAGCCCGAAAATGAATGCTATCATTCGAAGGACAGTTGACAGACATCGAGGACGACATATTTGACAGATACAGGAAGTCTACCTTATCAACACAGAATCGACTTAATTCAAAACCACCAATGTTATCATGTTCTGACTGCGTCTGAAAGAATTAATAACAACAGAGAAAGACATTACAGTAATAAGCCAAAACTAATTAATTAAGTTTTAATATTATCAATGAAATTGAAATCTTATTCGCCGCCGGATTCAAACCAGCGGTCTGTAAATTACTAGTCCAGCGTTCTATCATATCAGCTAGACTAGTTATTATAATCATGCTGAGAATGCGGATGATATACTGTCCTCCTGAGTGAACACGTTGCCGACATTTTTCGAATATTTGGCATCTGACCCACCCCTGGCAAATGTTATCAACTCTTAGCTTAAAGATGGGGAGTGAAGTGGCCGAGTGTGTTGACAACTTCACTTATTTGGAAAGTTGTATCACCCCTTGATTGACTTGATTGCTGACGAAATCTGAGCACGAATAAAAGGGTTTGTGTAGCATTTTCCAGCTTACGCCATCTCAGGGGTATACGCGAGATTCGGCTATCTATCAAAGAGCGTGTATACGGCACACAAGGTCGCTCCATTCACCTTTATGGATTTGAGACATAGCCACTGAAAGTAGAATATGTGAAAAGATTACTTGCCTTTAATCACAGATGTTTGCGTTTTATCTCCCTTGTTAAGTGGTGAAATATGATGACTACTATTTACGATAGGCATAGAGTGCTGAGCACGTGATGGAAATCAATCGATAAGGTTGTGAAACTACTTTAATTGAGATGGCTAGGACAAGTGTTGCTCATACCCTTTGTGTGTGTTATTTCCTTCTTATCGATCGGCAAATTTTGTGTATTTCGATGTGTCTATTGATTGACAATTCACTGGAATACCAGATTTCTAATAAAGCATCAAAATCATCCGCCTGAGCTACAAATCTCCATCATATCTGAACATTGTCTTCATGTTGGATATCTTACTCTACTCTTAGAAAATGACCCAGCTATACAGTTTAAGGGTGTGAAAATTGTGTCACACCCCGATTACTTATATATTTTACTATTCAGACTGCATGCTGCTGATGACCATGTCTACGGGAATAATAAGAAGAATGCATTTTATTCTGGGAAGAGTTATTCACATAGCATTATTCAAATAACAAATAACTATTCATTAAATTTATCGATATGCACATATATGTATCACCAATTTTCACAAAAACAGAATAAACTCACATGTTCAACTAATGAGACTGTGATATTTGGAATTTGACATCTAACAATCAAAGAATTCTCAAGTGGATGATGACAGTTATTTGGATAGTGCACCGTATTCATGTGAATAGCACCAATTAAAATCATTGGTGTCAAATCAGCTAATGCAATGGGAAAGTTTTCATTGATTGAAGGATTAATACTAAATTCAATAAAAAAAGGAAGGAGAGGAAAACGATAAGAGATTTTCTATCAGTGACTCTAAGGAAATTAGTAATAATTAAGTATTTAACAAACAGCATGCAGTATGTATGCAGAAATTATGGAAGGAAGGAAAGGTGCCTACTGACTGGAGGAAAGATTACCTCGTGAAACTACCAAAGAAGGGCGACTTAGGGCTCTGCAAGAACTGGCGAGGAATCATGCTCCTGTCGATGCCAAATGAATTTCTGAGTCGCATCATCCTGGAGAGGATCAACGACGCACTGGATACAGAATTCCGACCAGCATAAGCTGGATTCAGGAAAGGCAAATCATGTTCTGACTAAATTGCAACCCTACGCCTCATCATCATCGAACAAAGCATGGAGTAACAATCAAACCTCTACCTCAACTTTATAAACTTTAAAAAGGCCTTCGACAGCGTTGACCGAGAAGTAATTTGGAAACTACTCGAATACTACGGAGTACCCCAAATATTCATCAACCTTATTCAACAGCTGTACGACAACGGCACATGTCAAGTCATCCACAACGGAAAACTCAGTGAGGCGTTCGGAGTAAACACAGGAGTCAGACAAGGGTGCTTGTTATCACCAATGATATTCCTAATTGTGGTGGACTGGATTATGCGTCAGACAGTGGGAAACGAGAAGACAGGGATATCCTGGACCGACGTGAAGAACCTAGAAGACATGGATTTTGCGGATGACTTATGTTTGATGTCACACAAAATCGAAGACTTACAAGCGAAAGCCGACAAACTGGTCGAAGAAGCAGCAAAGACAAGACTGCAGGTGAACATAGACAAGACGGAGGTTATGAAAATAATCAACCAACAACAACAACAGCAGCAACAACAGGCGCCAATCACCATCAACGGAAGGGATTTGAGAGAGGTTACTTCATTCACTTATATAGGGAGCATTGTCTCAACTACACGAGGAACGGACGACGATGTCAAACCGAGAATCGGGAAGGCGAAAAACACATTCATCAACCTGAAACCAATCTGGAAATCTTCGTCACTCACCATCAACAACAAAATTCGGATTTTCAATACAAACGTCAAGTCAATTTTGCTTTACGGATCAGAAACTTGGCGGGTCACCAAGAATATTTTCAACAGGTTGCAGACCTTTATCAACAACTGTCTTCGCTCCATACTGAAGATTAGATGGCCAGAAAGAATCACAAACAAGAAGCTATGGGAACAAACAAAACAAGAACCAATCGCCCAACAACTCTGCAGGAGAAAGTCGAGATGGACTGGACACTCGCTGAGGAGGCCGCTGGGTGACATCGCGTGTCAGGCCAGTGCTCGAGTGGAACCCGAAAGGGAAGCGGCTAGTGGGACGTCCAAGGGTGACATGGGGGAGGTCGTGTGAAGAGGAGTTGGAACAGTATGGACTAACATGGATGTAGGTGGAAAGTAGAGCAGAAGACAGAAGCAAGTGGAGACGTGTAGTTGAAGCCGTATTTTTCACTAGGAACCCAAGAGGACAATAATAAATAATAATAATGTATGCAAAAATTTTATAAGACCAACTAAAACGTGAGAAACACTTTTGAATCTCCAGTTAAGACGTGTTAATTGACGAGGTCAAAAATAACATCACAAACAATATACACACATAAACAAAATCTATGATCCAAGTCAGAAAACTCAGGTTACGAGAATGATGACCTAGATGGTTGAGCATACCTTTTAGGCTGAAGTTCCTGCATTGAATGCTCGGAAAGGATGCGGGTGATCAATGTTGAAAGTCACAAACAGCTGTCCAGTACTGTCTGGTTTCCAGTGGTTCTCTAACTGATATCAATCCGTGAGCAAACTTGAAACTAACCAAATACTCACAAATATATGATATAACGCCACTGTTATCCAATGACATCAGAGATTATCAATTCTCACACCTGACTTGATGAGTTCAATCGAGCACAACTTTACACTAGAATGCTAAAAGTCAATCACTAGCAAGTAATGGTATTTGTATTTTTAAATTTGGATGGTTTATTTACGAAACTTTCCCTTTCTTCACTTCAGCGCTAACTTCAATATGAAGTGAGCTTTCAGAATTCTCCACGAGAGTAATAAACGTTTCTCCTGATGATGTTGAACGCGAGTGATTGTTGCCGGAGATTACCTTACCTCTTGTGTTGTTTTAACCTGGTATTTGACTTTTCTGCAATGTGACGTTTTCTTTGTTGATCGATATAATAGACATATGTCAACATATCTGTAGAGTGTGAATTGATATGAGTTCCATATTTCTATGAGTTCTCTCGCATTTTAAGTATTTCCTCTACTTAAAACTCTTACATTTCTCTGTTCAAACTAGTATTGGTCACATGTTTTGATATGAGAGAATACATATCCATGTCGTTTGACGGCTAGTTTATGATCTTGGTTGTTAAGTTGAAGGCGGAGTTGACTTTGAAGAATATAATGTTTTTACCATTTACAGCAATTTATCTTACAGTTGATTTTGGTTTCGGCTTCTTCTGTGGTTGCGTGATTCGCTAGACATAATATAGACCGAAGTAACTTTGCTGGTTGCTGAGAGACATTTAGTAATGGGTACGCAACTCAGAGAGAACATCGATTCCTTCTAGGTCGCAGACCCACGTTGTTGACGAGTACAAGAAGCACGAAACCAAGCTAGGAAAAATATAGAAATCTTATCAATATTTATTTATTCCCTGAGATTACGAGCGGAACATAGGGCTTCAGCAACACATAGCCATTTCACTCTATTCTCTACATTATTTCTAACTGGATCCACGATTCCTCTATCAGCTTTCATTCCCTGCACATACACCCACATAATCTCCTACATGTTACCCTTGAACCCAAGCTCAACTCGTAGTTATCTATTCGACTTTCATTCTGCACCAACTTGGCACGTGACTTCACACAGTGGTCTTCTCAGCGTATGTCCAATCCGTCTCCATTTCCCTCAGCGTATTTATTGAACGATAATTTGGTAGTTGGTCTGTTACCAGAGATCCATATGGCTTATCCTTCCTAATCGACCATCTATCTGGTAATCAGTATCGAACGAAGGGGTCTGTTGATGAAAGTCTGCGACGCGCGAACCAAGTCTCCAAACTGACACTAATGTTGAAAATCCAGAACTTTTTCCTTATGCTGAGTTCAGCAGATTTCAGCTAATTTCAAGTAATTGTTTGTCTGGTTAATAGGATCCTGACCTTGACACACTTATCTATGCCGCCTGTAGTTGAAACGATGCAGCCGAGGTAAATGGAAGACGATGTGAAGGACGGCTATCTACCGTTAGTATGCAAGAAAACACATAAGGAACTCAAGCTGAAAGAAAGCACCAGCTGGAGAATGATGTACGTGTTTATAAAAACCACTAGAATACAGAAAGTAACTTACATGCCAGAGCCAGGACGTATTCGTAAATCAACAAGAATTCGCCAAATCGCCGATACTGGTTGATTAGATGCATTATCTGTATGCACTGAAGCGTTATTAGTATTATTATTATCTGAGAAGTGTAAATTAGAAGACAGTAAATCCGAGGAATCACTATCTTTCCTCTTTTCTTTTTCAACGTAAGAATTTGATATGTTGCCTGCTGTAGAACCAAAAACGTTCGCATTATTTTGACAATTACTAACTTGTTGGTATGTCTGAACTGTTGAGGGAACAACTCCGTATTGGTTGAATGGATTCACTTTTGATAAATCATATTCATTGATCTGACTATCACTCAGAATGAAGGAACAGTATGTTATGAAACTTCCATTGTAATGATGAAATGGATCCCAGTATTGTAGGTAACACTGAAGCTAAAATTGTAAAATAAAACGATGTATAAAGTCAATGCCATTTGATTGTAAATTCGATGCACTTATAAAATTCATATCTATTTTTTAAAGACAGAATAGTAAAATGTTCACTAACGACGCATAAGGTCAAAGTTAGATAGATTCTCGAGTAAGAGCCTCTCTCCTAAGCCACATCTAGCTGGTTGTAAGTGCGGAAAGGAGGGAAAGTTAGCAGTGAGGCCAACAAGCAACCCTACGAGACAAGCACTCTTTTGCTACACATGTGCGTGTTCTATCTCTTATTTCAAGTAAGTAATATTGAGGGCATGCGTAGAGTGTGTGTGGGGGGATGAAACTCCATTGATTGAAGTGGTTAGGACACTTGTTGCGTATTCTCAAACATCGCTTTTTTCGATGACTTATACTAGCCAACATAAAATTAGGTTAAAAGTGAATTAGGGGTGCGCAGACTAAAACCTGGAGTGAATTCATGAAGTCTTTGACTGCTGGTCTTAAACATGTAGAGGGCTGTAAACTGACTAGCTGTGGTCCTTGAAACGCTAAGAATCGATAACTAGAGATTTTTGGGGACACAGCTCAAAATCGTTTAGAGTGGCGTAGTTCTCATCACTCTTTGTAATCTCCTAGATTCAATGTACAACTAAAAATAAAGGTTGAAAATGTAAAAAGGAACTAGCCACAGTTTCTCGAGGCAAATAAACAGGACGCCTAAGACAGAAAAGAAGAAAATAAAACTCAGAATACTAAGGTATCCCACTACATATTGCATAGATTATTCCTGACTGATAGCTGCTACCTTGACGTGGTGGTCGGGCTTGCATATCGCAAAGACCCAACAAGCTGCACTGGCTGGAACAACTGTTCCTGAAGGTCCTACCATGCCAGAAAGGTTGTTAGAATAGCGATTAGACTAAAAGCAGTCACCGGCTTAGTGTAACAATTTTTTTACACTATGCTAGGGATCTGTGGGCGAAGTCGTACTGCTGGGGAACAGGGATGTAACAGCAGTAAGGTGTTTCCTTCAGATGACCAGCATGGCAGCCACCTATACTGTCTCTCCACTCTAGAGAGAAGGGGTTAGAAAAGGTCGACCCCAACAATTGTACATCCCGACTTACCATACGGTGGTCCGTAAGTTTACTAATACGGAACCAAACCAAGAAACCAGTTCATACAGGCTGTGTGTGACCGGCCTCAAGCAGTTGTCCCCTGGGCTCTGATGTCACGCAACACTAACCCTCTTTCTGTTTCAGGTACTTGAAGACTCAATCAACTTCCAGGTGTGGGCAACCGGGAAGTGACAACCGCCCACACACTTCCAAGAGCACACGAAGTATCATTCTCCAAGAGCATAGATTATTGAAAGACTTTTCATAAGAACGTTTCAGTTCAAAACAACACGCACCAAAAAAGCATACAAAGAAGTAAATGTAAGGAATAAAATGAAAATACAGTAAGTAGATGTAGACGGAGGAAATAGTTAGGCAAAAAGTCATATAGCAAAAAGCCTCCTCCAACGAAGACCTCCGAACAAGCATCCTACGCCACTAAACATAGGTTGCACCAAGACTTCATGGATTGATATCCTCTTTAAGAGTGACCTATTCCTACTTCAGCTAACACAGTCAACGCTTTTGATGCTCCGCAGCCAGAAGCAAAATATGTACGTATGACACTATCTACCTCTCCTAGAAGACTGATTCAGCAGATGAAGGGGACAAAAACCTTTTCAAATGCATTCATGAAATAAGTCGTGGTTTGACTATGGAAGAGTTTAGGTTTGACTGACTGAATTTCAACAGGGAGAGAACTTTGCACAGAAATACAGGAATTCAAGTTACCACACTACATATAGCACAAAAAAAGTAAAGGAAAGAGAGAAAAAGGAGATTCAGAGAAACTGTAATGAGCAGAAATGTAGGGGAGAAAGTATGGTAACATACAAAAACATGACATTCTGGTGGGTATAGAGGATCACAGAGAGTGAATGCATTGGTGTCAATAGGAACAATTATCAGCCATTAATTCTTAGCATCCTGAGGACCCCAACAAGACAGTTTACATCTCCCTACGTCGCTCAAGCCAACTCCCAAGACTAGATTAACTAAAGTGTATGAGATAGTTCCATCAAGATGGTGTAAGTAATTTATCGCCTCATGTTACAAGGGAGTGAATAATAATTCTCCATGTTCTAAATTCTAGGGGGATCAGGTTCACTAGGATACTGTATAAAATTCAAAGCTTCACAGTCATAGAACACAATATGTGATCTACCAATCAAGAGAGAAAGCATAAATGCTTGATGGTACACACTATCTACCACAACTACTTGGGTGGTGTGAACTCTTTCTGACTTTGATAGGAATCGGATTTAAATAGTAATAATCTCATGATTCATCGTGTGATCGGATGACTGTTAAAATTTCAACATCCTTTTCTTACCTTGATCTTAGTCAAATCGCCAACCAACCAGGAGAATCTATCTCCACTGCCCAAGGCAGATACGAATGTGACCGACGAGATCATATCAGTTGACAACAGATCATATAACAGACTTCTCAGCCGGGTCTAAACCGAGTACACCGCTGGAGTTCGGACGAGTGAAACGCTTGTCTAGCGCTTACCAAGCACTACTAGTTCATGTGAGTTGTCACACAATATGGAAAGCAGTTACAGAGACACAAATATCTTCAGAATGAACAACTCAGCAATTTTTTTTGAAAAAGATTCATCAAAACTCACCTCAAATCCATTCGGTGAATACTTATCACTAATATTATTCAATTTCGACGAGACTAATTCAAATGGTATAGGCAGTATTCTTAAATAATTCGGTCTACACGCCTCAGGATGCATCCATGTTATACCTAACCATTGTGGATTACGTAATCGTTCTTCTTCGGCTTCCACTTCATCTTTGTCATCTTCTTCGTTGATACTGAAATCATTTGAAAGATTATTACAGCAGACAATTTCATTTTGTAATGGCCAACGATGACCTTGTAAAGGTGATTGTTCCCATAATTTTTGATTCAATACCCAAGGATAACATGGATGAGATTGATGATGATCACGATCAATATCATCAGGTTTTGTTGACATAAGTTGACTCGAGGATGTCGATGATGACATCGACAGAGTAAAGTTTCTACGCAAATCATCATTGTGTATTATAACACAATCATCATCATCAGTTGAACAATGTATACACCTACTATCATCATTTTTATTGAAACATTGAACAGACGATTTAAAACAAAGCTTGTTACAAATTTGAATTGATTTTATAATATGAGTAGCTTTCATAAGAATTAGCTTAATATAATCATTTATGTAACCATGCATAGGTAAGTGGATTAATAGACTAGAATTGAATTGAATTTGACTAGTGACCTTATCAAATGAGTAGGTAAAGTACTCATGATTAAGATTATGCATACAGTATTTTGTATTGATTAATCCACCAACAGTCAGACATGTATTAGGCCATATTAAATATACTGGTTTACCGCGATTATTTATTTTACTGAATATTAGTGAATTACTTTCAACTGAACGACAGATTAATGATAAACCAGATAAACTTGAAAGATATTCAGTTGAAGTTGTTAATGTATCACAGTTGGTCGAGTTTAATAATTGTATCACAGTTGAAAGATGTTTGAGTTTGAATTCTAATACACGGGAATCAATAACTTTGTTGTTTATCTCGTCAAACTGTAATTTAATCTGCAATGAAAACGAAAACAAACAAACAAATGATGATGAAATATCATGGTTGAAAATAAAAATCACGGTTAGATAGCTTAAGGACTCGACTCTATGTCATAAGGTTTCGCATCCCAACCCTGCTACATCTACTTCAGCCAAGTAAACTGTGAGTAGGATTATCAGCACCCACACAATATGTGTAGGGGTAATTAAGTTTCAGACTGAGATTTATGCTGTCAAAACTCAAGCTGGTATCGTATCGAATCAATTCGAAATGTCTGATGATATTAGATAGTTGGAGGCAATCGACAGGAAGCCTTCGACCTAGGTTTCGTGCTAGCTGGCACTCACCAGTCAGCAAGGCGTATCTGCAACCTTGAAGGAACTCATGTCTCTTCTGAGATTTGAACCCCATCATCAGCCAGTGCTGCAGTCAGAGACGTTACCACTGAGCCAGCTATTCGGGCTCGCGATTGATCTCCTGTAGGAGTGTATTGGATATTTTGATTGCACACTAGTCAGTAACTAGTGTGATATGTCTAGTGCTTTCTTTGGTGCAGACTGAATTCTATCAGTCAGGTTTGCAATGTGGCCACCATTCTAGGTAGCTCGCTATCACGGTGCACATTGATTTGATGATATTGGAGGTTACCTAGAATGGTGGCCACATTGCAAAACCTGACTGATAGAATTCAGCCTGCACCAAAGAAAGGACTAGACACATCACACTAGTTACTAGTGTCCAATCAAAACTTTAATTCTACATGTACCAGAATTCAGAACAATTCCAGTATAGACATGTCTAGTCGACTCAGTGTAGAAATTATTTCACTGGTGTCATTTAGGGACTGATAATTTACTGGGCACTTACTTAGTCTACTAGTGAATGAATAAAGACTTCGAAATAGATCTACTAACATTACGGAAAAAAGTTGCTATTGAAATGAAAAAGTTCGCTCCTACTGAAGGACATCATAAATCGTCATGATGCAAAATGCTGAGTGCCGGATGAACCTTTTCTATTTAAACTACCTCAATGGACAGACAAGAAGACTCTAGAAGATCTGGAAATCCCCGTCGATTTATGTCTAATATAGTAAACGCTCGATGATCTATAGGCGAAAAATCACAAACTGACAGAAGAACCAGCGAAGACAGGACCTCAAGTGAACATAAAGAAAACAGAAATGATGAAAGTATCTAACTGACAACAGAAACAAACACGAAAGAGCGAATATTAGGTAAATCTAAAGGGAGTCTCTTCTTCTTCCAACTACCTACCTGGTCTGCATTGTTTCAAATACGCATAGGCTGAATGATTGAGAATAAAAAAGACAGCCACCAGCGGAGCGAAAAAGTATTTACTAATTCACGTGCTCGTGTGGAGCCAGGTATGTCGGCCGTACCCAGCGTTCGCTTTCCAAACGTATCACCGAACACTTACCAACATGGTTTTACAAAGGAGAAAAGCGACGCCCCCGCAGCTCTATCTTAGAACATCCAATAGATTCCGGACACCAAGCTACACCCCAAATAAACTTCAAAGTCGTCTACAGAATACCAAGTAGTCTTCCTAAAAGTGTACGAATCAGACTTCTTCAAACTGCAGAAACAATGGCGATTCCATTGCTAAGTCCTGAACTCTGTATACAGAAGAAGTTCGTTCAATCACTACACTTGCAATGGATGTAATCTATCTTATTACCCGACAGGTAAATTCTACCTAATCCTTTTCTCTTCTATCTCTTCATTAGTATTATTTTGTCTTCTCAACTGTAATATTTTACATTTTCAACCTTCTTGTGTCTCTACGCCCACCTGATTTAATTTCTGCACCTCATTACCACTGTTACTGACTTGACCAACGCTCAATTTCTAGTCATTTGTGTTACGTCATCCAATTTATTTGCTCAATTTCAGTTCTAATTTAAATGTCATTATTCTCTATCCCACCTTTACTTAGTCTCTACCTGTAATCACCTCTGTTGCTACCCTGACCTAAATTGAAACATTTTAGTCAATTATATTACGTCATCTAACTTACTAGCTAACTCAATCTTACTTTAGTTGCTGTCTAATTAGTCTTGTTTCTATATTAGATCATTCTTGTATTACCTGATTAATTATCTAAACTTGACAAACCTCATGTACACACACACACAAATAATTATATCTAAATGCGATTGTACAGCTATGTGAATGAATTCGCTGATAAGAGTCTCTTTGCTGAACCTCTTCTCTTTTTCATTTGAATTTTTAACATTAATGTCATGTCAGTGCTTCTGTGTGCCTCAAAGTCTTGGAGCACGCGTTAAAAAAATTTCAACAGGCAACCGTGAACTTTAATCAACATCTACCTTTACTTCATATTAGAGATCATATGACCGATTTGAAAGGATAAGCAACAAGGAACTCTGTCAACGAAAGAATCAAGAACCTACCAACCCAGCGAATATGTAAAAGGCAATGAAGACGGATTGGACATACACTGAGGACACGACATCATAAGCCAAGCCCTCGAGTGAAACTAGAACGGGAAACAACCATTAGGCCGTTCGGCGAAGTTCAACAATAGCGTCCCAGGAGTGTGAACGCCCCAATGATCTTGAACGCATGCTAGTCGTTGGCTAACAGCATCTGTCATTATCGTAGCTGAAATATCAACGCTATTCACCAACTTAGGAGCAAATTTCACCCAGATCACGTTTTTAAGTACTGTTTGGACAATGTGTTAATAGCTCGTTAGGGTCAGGATTAGGGTTAAGGTAATTACTAGGGTTAGGGTCAGGATCAGGGTTATAATTAGCATTAGGGTTAGAATTACGGTTTGAATAAGGGTTATGATTAGGGTTAGGATTAAGGTTAGGTTTAGTGTTAGGGTCAGGATTAAGCTTATGGTTACGATTATGGATTGATTTATAGTTGATGTCATTTATTTTAATTTGTTTTATTATCCACGTTTTCCAGGTAAGTAGTCGTCTATCCTCTTGCTGGAAACCATAATAATTCAAACGAGGGCTTTTTTGGAAGACTGCAAGCAGGATAAGAGAGAGAAACGATTCACAAAAACAGTTTATCTCTAGTCATATCGGTGAATACATGTACAGAAACTAGTCTAACTTAGCAACTGATACTCCTCGTTACAATTAGGACATAATTTTAGGCCATGTCAGAGAAAGATAACCTGTTTAATGCGTTTTCAAATATTTTCTTGTCAATATGATTGGTTAGCTGAAGGTCACTCCTGCATTCGCACTCCTGGAACGCTATTGTTGAACTTTGCCGGCCGTTCAAGGGTAACATGATGTAGAACGCGTGAGGGAAAAATGAAAGTATAGGGGCAAATGAGCAGCCAGCTAAAAGAGATCGCAAAACACCGAGTGAAATGCTGATGTGCTGCTAAAACCCACTGTTCCATTAGGAAGCTGAGGGAATAATAATAATCATAATAATGATAAAAGCGAAACAGAGAAAAATGCACAAGAACAACTCACTCGAATACTATTAGTTTCTATGTTAATCTTCTCAAGATAAGCGTGTAGAAGATGAACAAATCTTGCAGTGGATGATGACGGTGATGATGATCCAATTGATGAAGTCAGTAAATCTGTACTATTACGACACCTGTTGATTTCATCATTTGGCAGACAACTACTGTTAACTTCAAATAATTCATGAAAGAATTTACAGAAATATAAAACTGCTGAAAGTGTATCCGGTCGTATGCATAACGTTTGATCTTGTCCAACTTTGAAACAGACATTGAAACGATTGCGCTTGCTAGACATCGGCTAAATGATTCGAATATTTTGGGAAATTAAAAATGACTCTTTTAATATTGACAGCAAATGCATGAAACCACATTTGTAATACATGTATATATTTACTTAAGTAAAACGCTAAAACTACTCATTGATCTGTCTGTCTGTCTGCTTTCGACATAGAACTTTGCACCGATGTGCACCAGTTCAAGTCGCCAGACTCCATGTGGCACATAAAGCAAGAGAAGAAAGTAGAAGAAATGCATAATATAGACAGTAAACAGAGGTGAGAGACAAAGGAATAGTAGTAACGAAGAAAAATATAGTTTCATTGGAAATCATAAGTCACAAGGAGTGGATGCCTCTGCGATAGCCATTGAAAACGAGGATTTTGAGCCATATCACCAATTGTTTCCAACCATTGGTATTTACCGTCCCAAGGACCCCAAACAGGAAGTCTACACCTTCCTACCTGGCTTAGACTAACTGTTGTAGATTTCATTGACTGGTGCCATGTTTTGGTTTGACCGCCACTAGCTCCTTTCCAGCCTGACCCTATGTCAGCTAACATCGACCCCAAAAATTGTACATCCCGACTTACCCTACGGTGGTCCGTAACCGGCCATAAGTTTACTAATACGGAACCAATCCCAGAAACCAGTTGATACAGGCCGTGTGTGACCGGCCTCAAGCAGTTGTCCACTGGGCTCTGATGTCACGCAACACTAGCCCTCTTTCTGTTTCAGAAACCCAAAGGATCAATCAACTTCCACGATGTGGGCAGCCGGGAAGTAAAAACCGCCCACACACTTCCAAAAGCACACGAAGACTTCCCGAGCATCATTCTCCTTTACTCACATCACCTTTCTCATCTTGCTTCTCTAGGTAATCAACTGTCGATCAGTGCGTCCAGGGTTCCGATTCCGCCTTACCCAGCCGAAATTCAGTCAGCCAGGTGAAGCAGTATCACTAGATCCCAAACAATAGAAGTGTTGACTCAGTGTCAACTCCAAGGAGTTACAAGTGGTCAAGTAACACCTGTGCAACTGAATGAATGAGCCATGAAGAAAATCAAAAGACATTTCAGCGAAGAAAATGTTCTCTATCGACGGCATCATCTTTAAAGGCTATACAATCGTAGTTAGATTTACTATAAATGCATAGCAGTCTATTATTAAGTAACAGAGGTGTCTCATAGTGTGTGTGTGTATGTGAGTGATATAATCGGTAGAGTACTTTTCTACTACAATATAAGAAATTACCAATGCGGTTCACTGTGGAACATATTTGATATTCTCAGAGATTTAAGTATTTAGTCGAGGAAGTTATATCAACAAATTATAATATATACGTACAACTTGGGTAGTGCGGTATCATGCAATTTCATACGGATTTGTTTATTCGGTATATCACTTAATGTGAAACAGTATAAGACAATTACTAGCTCAATTCTCGAGCATTTGGTGAACTCCGGCCAAGTAGCTCCACCGGAGTCGCCTTTCAAGATCATCTACAAAGGGAAGCCAAATGGTACAAAGGGCGTCAGGTTTCGGCATTTGTGTATGGCGGAGGCGCTGTCAATTCATCAATACAACCCTGAACTCTGTATACAGAGACCGTTCGTCCAGTCTCTTATTCTACCTTGGTCTTAACCTTCTCACTAATCGTTCCCTATTAAAAAATTTTCATTTTTTTTCTTTTGATTTTTGTAATTTTTAATCTAACTTTTAGTTTGCTTTTGCTTTAATAATTAATTCACTATTATAACTCTCATATGCTCCTTTTGTATATTTTTACACCCTCTTCACACTTGTTAAATTGATACTCAAATACCTTTATTCTCACTCAAACCTTATCCAATTTCTATCTTTCTTCCGTTGAGTACTACGTAATTTACAACTTTTAATTTTTACTTCTAAAGCCACTTCTGAGTAATTATATCAATTATGTCACCCCCTATTACTTAATAATAGACCACTATATATTTTTGTAAGTATGAATACGACTGTACGGCCTCTGAAGATGATTTCGTCGATAAAGAAAATTTTCTTCGCAGAATCTGTCTTTTATTTTCTTCATGAAACAGTATTATTTAATCGATTCACAATTGCATCAGGACTTGTAAATATGCCACTTAGAGGGTCGCCTGTTTTATAATTCCGGTTCTGCGGTTCTATTTATCATAAGGCTAATAAAATTTCTCAGATGTATATCTGTGATTGGTAAATAAATAAATCATGCCCGTTACATGCAATCTCAGTTGTGATTCGATAAATGAAGCTTCAGTTAGCGATTTTTCTCTCCATCCTTTTTATATTAGATTTTACGACTGTCAGTTTGTCCTATCCAATTGTACAGTTGCATAACACTGCAAAACAGCTATATGGTACGAAGAATATCGACAACGGAAATATGAAACAAGAACAAATAGAAAACGACCAGTAAGGATGATGTGAATAGCAAGTGTATGCAGAAAGGTGATAGCGCCAAGAAGGGATGTATAAAAAGTCAGTCCTTCTACCGTACAGAGAAAGAATCCCTCAAGCTATACGTAGGATATTAAACAAAAACGGGAATAAATAAACTCACTTAGAATTGAATTATGTCGGCTTAAAGACCCGATAGATCCAAGTGGGAGAAATGGCATAATTTACCAAATATCAATAAAAACTAATAATGCTAGTAGAAGATATGGTACTATTAAAATTCATTATGCAGAATATCTTATTAAGCCAATAGTTGACTTTAGGAACACTCCATCTCATGAGGTATCTATATATTTAGTATTAATATTATGTCCCATTAGGGATTAACCACAATCTGGGCTAACTAATTTTTTTATTACTATTATTATATTATTATTATTCCCTTGCGTTCCAAGTGGAACATAGGGCTTCAACAACACATCTCCACTTTGTCCTGTTTCTTGCCATCCTCTTCAGCTGGGTCCGCGATTAACCAAATTCTCTTATCTCTCCCGCACACGATCTCCTCCATGTCACCCTCGCACCGACGACCCACTCGTTGCTTCCCATTCGGATTCAACTCGAGCGATGGCCTGCACTACGTGTGATGTCATTCAGCGGTCTCCTCAATGCATGCCCGATCTATCCATCTCCACTTTCTCCTACATATTTGTTGAGCGATCGGCTCTCGCCTGTTGGTTTGTTCCTAGCCAGAGTTTCTTGTTGCTTATTCTTCCTAGCTGGCCATTTGATCTTCAGTATGGAGCCAGCAAAGGCAGCTGTTGATAGAAGTCTGCAACAGGCTGTTGGAAATCCTTTTCGTGACACGCAGTGCAAGTTTCTGAACCATATAGAAGAACCGACTTCACATTGGTGTTGAAAATGCGAATCTCGTTCCTTATGCTGAGTGACAGAGGAAGATTTCCAAACTGGTTTCAGGTTGATGAAGGCGCATCTTGCCTTTCCGATTCTCACTGGCTGTCTTGGACATCTTCGTCCGTTCCGCTGGCCTGTAGTTGAAACGATGCTTCGTAGGTAAGAGAAGGAAGGAAGTAACCTGCGTTACATCTCTCCCGTTGATAGTGATTGGTGCTGCTTGTTTCAAGTCTTCTTAGACGAGCACACTCTCTGATAACGGATGAGAAAGAAAAAGAAGAAGAAATATCAAACATTACTGAGACTCTCGAGCAAAACAACTACCCAGGGAACTTCATCAACAAAATCAACACTGACATTAAGTATGGTCGAAAACGCATTCCGAAAACATGGACATCAACAGTCGTCATTCCATATATTGCAGAGACGTCAGATGATATCAGAAGAGTACTAAATCAGCTCGACATTAGAGTTTTCTTCAAAACATCAGACACACTACGAAACAACCTTGTCCACATAAAAGACCAAATCCCTAAAGATTCTCTATCTGATTGTGTCTATAAAATAAAATGCTTGCTTGGAATGTGATGCTATATATATCGGACAAACATCACGAGAAATCAAGGTAATCAGAAGAAATGAACACCGTAGAGCCACCTCTATTAGATCACCGAGACATTCAGTTGAACAAGAAAAGCTTGAAAAATCATCAACCGTAGGTCTACATGCTATAGAATCAGGACACAAAATTGATTTTGACAATATTGAAATCATCATCCAGAAAAACTTCAGATATCACAAAGAACGTCTAATATCAGAAGCCAGCACTTCATATCAAGTGGAATCCAAATTGTCTGAATAGGAATGATGGACTAAAACAGAATTTGACCTGGTTACAACACCCCTTTCCCTATGAAGTGACAAAATCAACACGAATGTGATAAGCAATTTCATTATGTAAACACACACTGCTTTTATAATTTTACACACTGATCAAATCCAACAATCTACACTTGATTTTGATTTTGTTATCTTTACCAATTGACCAACTTGACAACGAAAAATGAACCCAGACTAACGAACGATGATCAAGTTAGTAAACTTTGTTTTGAAAGCATAACAGATGTACTATTACCTTTTTTATTTGGTTTAGTGATCTTCACTGTTATTTTTACTTTCAATATGTCCCCTTTTTTTGACCGAAGTCTATTTTCTCACCTTTTAACTCTTTGTTGAATATATGCTGAGATTTTGTAAATTCCGGTTTAATAATACTTTGATAAAGCTATTAGCACTAAATAGCGAAACATCAGTAAAAGCAATATCGTTTTGTTTTTCATTCATTCATTGGGAAATACAAAAACCTTTATTATAATGAAGTTATCTAGTCGTTTGAGTATATATTGATATGATTATGAGCAATACAGTTGTGCTCAAAACGTCATCTAGTTATTGATACTGTACCAGTGTGTATTATATATCAAACAAACAATATGTATGTATATATACATGATAAACAATACAATGATATCGCCATAACTCATATTTATACTTTAAACATACATTAACAACTGTAGATAAGTAGTCAGATCGAGAAGGTCGATGAAATGTGATAGATAGACACGGTTGGATAATACCAGTTCTTGAATTTACTATACGCTTATCAGAATGCCAAAATATCAGTGAACTGCACAACTGTATAGGGTTCATCACTTTATCCATTGACGATGTTAACACTTTTGTATCAATTTCACATGGAATAAATATAATACATGGTTCCTTCTGGTATTTTTCTTCACTAAATTTATTGATTACAATCGGTTTACATTGAGAACACGGGGATTTCAATTGACCCAGTCGACAGTCTACCTATGAATAAAAGGAAGAGAGAAAAAGATGGGGGAAGGTAATTACGTAACTTCATCCATGTGGAATGATAATTATTAATTAAGGTGACTGAAATGGTTTTATAGTGCGTCGGTGGTTCAGTGGCAGAATACTCGCCAGCCACAAACGTGGTCCACGGGTTGCTTCGGGTTGTGAGGGCGATTGTTACTTCCCGGCTGCCCACACCGTGGAAGACGTGGTCCACGGCTCGACCTCCGGCCAATGCACTCATTTACCTCGCATATTAATCCGGTATTAAGCCCGGTGGTGAAGGAGGAGGGTTGGGTGTGAAGCCGGCAACCTCATCCCAAGCAAAAAAACTTCATTGCTACTGAATCTTCAAAGCTCCAGCTTGAAGCTCTAGGTCCCACTCGTAACGCAAAAGAATGAAGAATTAAGAAGAGATTTTTTTTATAAACCAGCCAGATAATGCTCAATACAACTGGATACAATCATAAGGAAATCAATCACACACAGTGAAGCTCACTGAATGACTGACAGAGTTACAGCATAAAACTTTGTGTAGAAGAGCAACAATTTAAGTTGCAACACTACACTCCATGTAACACTGGTTGAAACCAACTGTCAAAGACCTCATGAACTGATGTCAGATATTGGTTTAGCCACAACTAACAATATTCCAACCTAATCTTAAATCAGCTAATATTATTCAACAAGGAAGGTGGAGGTTGGGAATAGGCATGTCCTAGTTCATCGAGTACTTAACGCATAACCTTAGCATTACTCATCATATTATACCACTTAACACTAGAGATAGGACTCAAATATCTTCCACATTCAATGCACGTGTCGAACACACATAAATAAAGACAGAGAGAACTGCTGCATAGTACAAACATCTTTTGATTGACAGGCAGATATTTCGTCTACTCAAAAGATGAAGTAAGTTGGTAAACGCCAAATGATCCTTTCGTATCCGCGTTAAGATTTTTCTTACCGAACAGTTCATTAAGCCTCACACAACTTCCTAAAAGAAAGACGTATATGTCATCTATAGGGAAGCAACGTTGTCCAGAAGGATGAAAAAGCTTTACACCTAAACCTTCCAGTTCAGTGAACACAATAACGCGAAAAACTTGCAAAAACAAACAGCTTGTTAAAAACAACCAATCCCTATATCAAATTTTAAGAGTATTATTTATCTGAAAAATGTTTTGCTGCATTTGTGCAATAATATACTGCCTCAAATAATCTGAACACAAATCTATTTGTCAACTGAATTTATATGGAAATGAAAAATTGGGTTGTAAATTAAAATGAACAAAGTGAGTACCATTGACACTACTCTTTACAATATGATTGCACTCAGCATGAAAAATAAGATCCGGATTTTCAACTACAATGTGAAGTCAGTGCTACTTTATAGATAAAAGATTTGGCACTTCATGAAGAGCACTTCGAACAAACTATGGACCGTCATCAACAGCTGTTTTCACTCAATACTTAATTTCAGATGGCCAGGAAAGATCAGCAGCAGGGATCTCTGGCAATGAGCGAACCGACCGGGAACCGATTATGCAACAAATAAGCAGGAAGAAATGGAGATGGATTGGTCATACTCTGAGAAAACAAAGTATTAAGTGACATCACACGCTAGGCCATCGTTCGAGTGGAACCCGAACGGGAAGCGGCGAGTTGGTTTTCAGTGTGAGGGTGACATGGAGGAGGGGGTCATGTGAAGACCGGATGATGAAAGCCTGTGGGCAGACGTGGAGTCAGGTGAAAACGTTGTCAGAGAACCAAACGCAATAGAGCCGTGAGGCTGAAGCCCTATTTTCCTCTAGGAACTAAAGGAAACAATAAATAATAATAAGATAGGTTAAGTGTAAACACAGGGACAGAGCGTTCAATTCTGACTTAAATGTTTATTTAAGATAATACGCGCAATCATAGAAGATAAAATTAGTAAAAGCAGATGAAGTTTTTCAGTTTTTGCATTGAGAACTTATCAAGACCCAATGTCCAGAAAGCATAATTAACAGGGAACTCTGGCAACGAACCAACCAAGAACCTATTACCCAACAAATATGCAGAAAGAAATGGAGACGGATTAGACAGACGACGCTGAGGAGACCGTTCAGCGACATAACGCTCCAGGCCAGCGCTTTAATAATGAGGTGAAGGAGAGTATGGCGGGGGATGGAGGAAATGAAAACCTATGGGCAATCATGACGCAGGCTAAAAACGATAATAGAGGACCAACTGAAACAGAGCAGTTCTGCTGAAACCCTATGTTCCCCTTGGAACCCAGAAGGATAATGATGATAATAATAAACTTATCACTGTGAAAACCTGTTAGGTGGTTAGAAGAAATTGATAGGAAGCCGTGCACTTACTGTTCTTACTTGCTGACGCTTGTTAGCAAGAGGTATCTCCAACGTCCCTGACTGCTGCACTTTGTAGCGCGGATTCAAATCTCTTAGGAATCATCAGTTCTTTCGGCGCCAAAAGTACGAAACCTGGATTCAGGGCCTCCTGACTTCGACAACTTAACGTCAATTCGAAGAACACCGGCGATAACAAGTCACCTAGCTTGATGACCAACAGAATGTACTTATCACCAACACTAGGAACTAAGCACACGACATTAGTTACTCCCAAGTGACCGACATTCTATGAGGCGTAACTTTCAGCCACTTAATATAAACCACATACAGATATGTTTATATACATATACTGAGAAAATGAAAAAAAGAATATAGACATTCAATTCTTACTTGTAAACCATTCATTGAAAATTCAAAATGATCGGAAGCATTGCGATTCCCGGTACCAGCAAAATTTAAAATTATATGTGGTTGACTAATTTGGCTAGTAAATACAGCTAATAAAGCATCTTTTCCACTGATATCCCCTTGATTGGTTGATTTCCACGCAAGAAAGTTAATTTGACGAGTAGTGATAAACAAACGACTAGGAGTTGACAGTAAACAATCGTCATGGTCATTAGAGAAAAGTAATTTTTCAAAAAGACTTGGTAATAAAGATTGTTGCGGTGTTTGTCGTGTTATTGGTGGTGGTGAAGACGATGATGATGATGATTTTTGTGTATGACAATTGGAAGTGACCGGAGGAATGAGTTGTACAAGATACGAGATAAGATCACAGTCAGCCAATATTAATAAATCATTCATTATTGAAAACTCCATAGAATATCCACCGTAAATGTACTACAATTATAAGGGAGTTCAGAGAAACATAAAACAAACTGAATGAGATGTGAAAATAATGAATACATGAAAGTATGTAAGCTTAGACAATTCAAATAATTTACAAGTGTTGGTTTGCATAAGATTTCATTAGCCTCAAGGTAGATCACGAAGTGACATTAGTAAGACAACCCCTGAAAACCAGGAAATATTGGACAGCTCACCTCGTAACTTGAACAGTCCTAGGTTTTATCTCCAGTAGGGTCACAGGTGCGCACGATACACGTGTCCAATACTTCCTAGTCCTCATTGGTGCTTTGAAGAATGACATCAGTCAGTGATCTAGCTCGAACCAATTGATTTGGTCAATAATAAAATTTGAGGCTAAATTATTCGGTCCTAAAATATTGTGGTGAGAGCAGTCTGCTAGCCAAAATTGTAGACAACAATTCATGTCATTGTTCGCGTCCCGAATCAGAGTCATGAGGAAGAAAACAATAACAAAGCTCAACCTTGAGAAAATCACCAGCCAATCACAGCAGACTTCACGTGTGCAAATGGGATTCGCAGATATGTGACTTAACTTTCTGAGAAAAGGCCACAAAGAGATAACAGAATAGTCCTCAGCAAGTAAACAACCAATCAGAAAACGTTGATTCTTCACTAACAATAATGTACATAAAAATCTATAAATACCTCTTGATTTTCTCAGTAAACGATCTGTTGCTTGTCTATTGTCTTTTGTCGTTACAATATTAGCTGGACATCACAAGTATGAATGAAAAATCATAGGCATTCCATAAGACATGACTTTCCTGATTCACTAACCTAATGGACAACTCATTAGTATTTGAATTGATGGGTACCACTAGGGAAAAACATAACTCACTGAAGGGTACACGCATCCACCTTATGGGTTTCAATAACAACTAAACGCACACTCTGAATTCTACTGGTAACCACAACTAATTAGAACATTAGTTTTAGACACAGTAGACACAGAAAGCCTATGTGTCGGTGGTTTAGTGATACAACGATCGCCAACCAAACACGTGATCGAAGATTCGACCTCCCGCCGACGTACTCCTAAACTTTGCTTAGTTTACTAACCGGCAGAAATTCTGGGAAGAAAAGACAAAGTTGGACAAATAACACCAAAGCCACATGAACTTCAAGGTTTCAAGCCTGGAGTCCTATGTTCCACTAGGGACAAAAAGGAATAACAATCAGAAGAGCCTACAATTAATTGTTGGACTCAATATTTTGACAGAGCTTCCCATTATGAAGATTACGATTGATATTACCCCATTTGTAATACACTCAATAGTACTCCAAGCTAGTGCATTGTACCTCCTCTTCCACGGGTTTTCAATCAACTAAATGAGCTTCATAATCAGACATTTAAATAATCTAATCAATAAAAATAATACCAAAAAGATTTTATTTATATATTTACTCTTACTGATTCAGAATTTTCATATTTCCCATAGGCAGGTGCAAAGATAACAGAAATATCAAATGAATGTACAATTGACCAACCATAGAGTGGATCATCTCTGCAAGGAAAACGATACAAGAATGCGTAGACGTTATATAATACTGTGTCATTTACAAAGCCTAATAATATAACATGATTACCACTCAGTTACTGAAGTTAATTCGATTTTATAACAACAGATAGACAGGGAATTGAGTGAACTATAAAGCTAGATAAACCATCTAGCATGCTTGTTTGTTAGAACTCAAATCCTGGAAGAGGTTCTTCCTGTTCCAGGCTATAAAGGCTGATGATACTACTTAGTTGTCCGGGTTGAAGTTGACTATCAGGGACTCGAACTCCGGACCGACAGGCTGTAAATCGAGTATAGTTAAGTCACTCATCTACGTCTCAATTTAAAGTGGTTAAGCTTCAATGAAGTAAAGAGACGTTAAAAAGAATGTCATAGAATATCATGCTTTTCTTTGCCTAGATAGAGACAATGAAGCCCTAGAAATACTCTACTAACCTTTCAGAAGACATTAGATATATTTCGATAGAAATTTAAAAATTTAGAACAAGAGGTCAACTCTTTCAAAAAAATCCTCAGTCATGCTCTATTAATGAAAAGAAGCAGAAATTTGCTGAATGCTTCCACCATTTTTTTCTCATAAAAGCATGCTGACCAACACTTATCAATTATGCGAATGAGCATCTTTCTGAATATTTCGTACATCTGCTAACCGTTTTTTTGACCATAACTCAGTTCTTCTCTCTATCCTTCTTTATGGCCATTGAAAGTCGAAGAAATGAAAAGGCTAGTTGTCTTCAACCACGTGTGTTTGCTTCCTATCTCTCGTGTTAACTGGTACAACATGGTGAGTACTTATGAGACAAGGCATTATTTATTATTTCCTTTAATTCCTAGAGGAACATAGGGCTTCAGCCGTGCGTCTCCATCGCGTTCGGTTCTCTGCTAGAGTTTTCACCTGGCTCCAAGTCTGCCCACATGCTTTCATCTCCTCTTCACATGACCTCCTCCAAGTCACCCTTGCACTGACGACCAACTCGCCGCTTCCCTTTCAAGTTCCACTCGATGTCACTTGATGGCTTCCTCAGAGTATGGCCAATCCATCTCCATTTCTTCCTGCCTATTTGTTGCACAATCGGTTCCTGGTCGGTTAGCTCCCATGAAATAAGGGGTATGGTGGTAAGTAATAAGGGCAAGTAAATCGATAAGGTTTTACAGCTACATCGATTGAGATGGATTAGATGTGTCTTACGCTTGCCAAGTCATAACCTTCTTCGTCAATTAATGTTAGCTGATACAAGTTTAGAGGCTGGAAAAGAATTAAGGGTGGTCATTAAAATTTAAAAAAACTGCATCAATCCATGAAGTGTTTAACTATCGCGGTTTTAATAAAGTAGAAATTGCAGACTGCCTGTGGCTGATATCCTCGAGATGCTAAGAACCAGTTATATCAACTGCATAGTAGTCTAATACTCAGTAATGTGATTTAACCTTTATTAGTATTGTAGTGAGAGCTGGCTGCTAGCCAAAGTCGGTAGACAGTAATTAACGTCAACGTTTATGTCCCCAATATTGGTCGTGAGAAAATGAGAACAAAGGCTTTGCGTAGGCGGGTACAGTTAGCATATGGATGATCTGACACAGCCACAAAGAGATGCAAGGTTAACTTTCTGTGAGAAACAACCAATCAAAAGACTGTATTTTCTACTAACAATAATCTACAATAATGTACATTAAAATCTATAAATATGTGTTGATTTTCCTTAATAAACGATCTGTTGCATGGCCCTTGTCTTCTGTTGTTACAGTATGATTAAACCGACGACATTGTTTGGGCTCGCACTAAATCACAAAGTGGTAGAAGTTAGAATTCATGGACTGGCCACTGAATCAGGTCCCAGTGACTGAATGGTATACGAGCCAGCTAGCTTTCCTTGTAACCGGAAGGTCGTGGGTTCAAACGCGTGTGGTGGGTGCGTACTACCGATGATTCCCAAACTAGGATGAAACAGCTGGCTGTCCAGTGCTCCCTGGTTTTCAATGGTTCTCCAGTTGATATCTATCCGTGATCAACTCGTAAAAAACAAAATAATATCATGAAATTTAAAAATTTAAATACTACTTACATATCACTATAAGAAGCTACACGATTCCAATCTTTAGCTGGATTCTGAGCAATAGGATTTGACACAGATGAATTATAATCACTCTCAGGCTTTACATTACACATAAACTTGAAAGGTACTGCTAGAATATTTATAGAATTAGCCAGTAAACTGATTTGTTTATCACAAGGAATTACAATCGGCTTAGAGGCGAATGATTGTTGTTTCACCGACGGGATAATATCATCACTGGTACACCATACTGGTCTTTCAATGAAATTTTCTACTAACGGTTTAACTTGAATAAAATCACACGATAACATTAAAGCATTAGGATATTTTACGCTTTGTTTGTTTTCAGATAGCTAAGAGGAGAAATAGAAACACATTGATCATGATATGCACATCGCTGAATGATTAAAAATATATGAGAACACAAAGCCACCAGAGAGAGTGTGGAGACTTTAGATGATATTTCAATAATCAATGGGCCATACCTTCGTAACTGCGTATTGCTGCACGACCCAATAGGTAGTTAAATGGTACCTTATACTGAAATATGTTGCCCGTAAAAGGAGTGCAGAGGAAATATATCGCACTCTACTCGAGCTCATACAGACGTGTAGAAACTGACAACCAGTGGAGTGTCGATCAGGGATGCAGACTCTCCCCAGTTTTTGTTTAATTTCATTTTAGATGTACTAATGGAATCGACCCTAACCAGCTTTGAATACATAAGGACTGACTTGCTACCAGGGTACAGTCTCACTGGTTTAGAATATGAGGATGATAATATACTGTCCTAGGTGGGGAGGCTGATAAAATGCAGTCTTCTGAAGAACTTGGGCAGGAATCTTCGAATATCTTTGACATATGATTCGCGCCTGTCAAGTGTGACATGTTGCTGCTTCACAAACAGTCGCCACTGAGACTCTTGGTTTAAAGATACCGGGTGTAACGATGAAATCTGTTACCACTTCACTGATTTTGGGAGTTGCATCAACCATAATGAACTGAATGCTGACGAAATCTCAGCAAGGATACAAAAGACTAGTGTATCTACTTGTCAACTTATATCATCCTTATAGTAGAACTGATATCCGGTTATCGACCAAAGGATGTGTGCGCTACGCAGCAGTTTGCTTTGTCCTCCTCTGTATGGCTTCGAGATAGAATAACTGAAAGTATTGGATGTGTAAAAGCTTGTTGTCTTTGGTCACAGATGTGGTAGAGCATGCTGACCGCTTCACTTACTTGGGAAGTACAATCAGCCCCAACAGGTTGATCTCCGACGAAACCTCAGCACGGATACAGAGGGCTAGTTTCGCATATGCCAGTTTACGCCATTTCTGGCGTAGACGCGACATCCGACTATCGACCAAAGGGCATGTGTATTGCTCAACACTCCGCTCCGTCCTCCTTTATGGCTGTGAGACATGGCCATTGAGAGCGGAAGACATGAAAAGATTAGCTGTCTTCGGTCATAGGTGTCTGCGTTCTATCTCCCGCGTGCAGTGGTATAATAAGGTGAGCAATCTCGAGGTTAGGCGTCTAGTGCTAGGTAAGGCGGGGAAATCAATAGACGAGACTGTGAAATTACATCGACTGAGATGGTTAGGACATGTGCTACGCATGCCTAGTCATCGCCTTCCTCGACGGGCAATGTTAGCTGATATATGACCAGGCTGGAAAAGAGCTAGTGGCGGTCAAACGAAAACATGGCACCAGTCAATGAAATCTACAACAGTTAGTCTAAGCCACGTAGGAAGGTGTAGACTGCCTGACTGGTTGGGGTCCTCGGGACGGTAAAAACCAATGGTTGGAAACAATTGGTGATATCGCTCAAAATCCTCGTTCTCAATGGCTAGCGCAGATGCATCCACTCCTTGTGACTTATGATTTCCAATTAAACTGTTTTGTTCTTCGTTATTACTATTCCTTTGTCTCACACCTCTGTTTACTGTCTCTAATATGCATTTCTTCTACCTTCTTCTCTTGCTTTGTGTGCTACATGGAGTGTGGCGAGTTGAACTGCCGCACATATGTGCAAAGTTCTATGTCGAAAACCAACCGACCGACCGACCGGTCACAGATGTTCGTCTTCTGTCCTTTATATTAAGTGGTGTATTATTATTATGAGCAATCGGAGAGAGGAGGACAATCGATGAAGTAGTGAAACTACATTAATTGAGATGACTTAGTACGTGATATGACGCGTTGTTAGCACAGCGGTAAAATGCTCACCAACCACGCACTCCTTTACCTCGCTAAGCCAGTAATAATACTGGTAAAGAGGGAAGTTTGGGCATGAGGCTAGCAATCCCATCCTGTAAAAATCAATACCACTGCAACGGAAACTTTAAGTCTCTAGCTTCAAGCCCTATGCTCCACTGGGAACGTATAGGAATAAAATAAATAATAATAATAAAATTACCTGATATAGGAGTAGGTTGGAAAAAAGGTTAGGTATGGTGGAAACACGTGTATAAGTACTATTGAACAGTTAAAGAAAATGAATGGATACTGAACAAAGAGTACTCTTTTCGATAACTTCATCATCAGGCTCTACAGTTATACATACATTATAGTGAATGAATGAATTATTATTGCCGATATATGGATGATACCTTCATTCTTTGTGATAATGGTTCTGATAGGAGTACAATAATTACTGAATTCAATGAAGTACATTCGGCTATGAAATTCACACGCGAAGACGAATCCAAAGACAGAATTGCCTTCCTGCATGTCCTACTTACAAGAAAACCAGATGGTAGCATAAAAATAAAATTTGCATAGAAAAAGTACTTGGACAGGACAATATACACACATTTTCACAGCTCCGTTCCTATCAAGTACAAAAGAAATTTAGTGAAGACCCTCAGCCACACAGAGTTAAAGCTATATGCTCAGAAGAAGGAATTGGAGATGAATTAAGCATTGTATACTTTGATACTTTGATCGAAAATGGCTATCCCGAAAAATTTATCAAGAAACACATGACAAAGAAGGCGGAAAAGCACTACTCACTATCTGTAAACAAGAAGCCACTTTATATACGACTACAATTCATGGGCGATATACCAAGTGAGATAACTACGAGAAAATTAAGAAAATCAGTTCAAAGAACTTTTAATGCTGGCGAACTACACGTTTTATTCTCTACACAACCGAAGGTGCTACATCGACTGAAAGATGAAGTACCGACACTAGCCACTTCAAATTGTATCTACCAATTCAACTGCGCTTGTGGAGCGAGTTATATTGGCCGTTGCTCTAGGAACTTGATTTTTCGTGCTAGCTCGAGAACATATCCCACTATGGCTAAGTAAAGGTGTAGCTGAAACCATTAACAGTTCGATATTGGACCATCTGGTGCAAACCGGCCACAAAGCCAGCCAGCGTGGAAGAATCCTTCTCTATCATCTACCGGGTGCCTAATAAATTGCTAAAATCATCGAAGCACCGCATGCTCCAAACAGAAGAGACTATTGCAATTCGCCTTAAACAACCAGTGCTTTGTGTTCAAAAGAAGCAAGTCCAGCCAGCCCCTACGACTGCCCTGGCTGGCCTTCAGTAGAAACTATAAATTCATGAATTTGTAATATTATCTTTCCTAATTTTTCTGACATTCAGTTTATTTTTATGTTGATGCTATTGAGCTGTAATCCACTGGTATTATTGTTATTGATTCAATGTTATTTAAACGATATTAATGTTGTTCATAACAGTAATTCATTCATTCACTATAATCTATGTATTACTGTAGAGCCTGATGATGAAGTTATCGAAAAGAGTACTCTTTGTTCAGTATCCATTCTTTTGAAAATTCTAATGGGCATTTTTAATCAGTTAAAGAAAATGAATTAACTGAAGTGTGCCTCTTTGCTGAACTACATATTTTGTCTTTTTTAATTAACCCTTGGACGGGGACAAAAAGGGAAAAAACAGCTCAAACTAAAAGCAAAGTTTAAATGACAACTTACTCCAGATAATACATAGAACATTCGAAATGAATCAATTGTAGCATTAATAACTGGCAATGAATTAACAGTGAGAATCGACTCCATGCATATATCATCTTTCTTAACTGAATAGGATTCAGGTGAAGCAGAATCTCCGACAACATCAACAGCAACAAGTGATCCTTTATAATCTAAACAGTTGCTAATGAATTCTGTGATTTCATGAAGCACCTCTGGAATAATTACAATATCCAGCGGTTGAACACTAATATTAACATGATTCTCCGGGTGCATAGTGTATACTCTACACGAGGTGTTGTTATCAAGCATTACAGATAAATCTGATTGAGATGCAGAATAGTAATCCGATGTACTATTAAACTTCGAACAGGTGCGTGTCATTACTATACGAAGAAAGTATTGTCCAATATTTGATTTGTCTTCATGTCGCTGGCGAGTTGAATTCAACCAGTGACGTTTACGAGCATTTAAAGGGATCAGGGGGATATAGTTTTCTTCAAACCATGAAGATTTAGCATAGTCATTCGACTGGACTTTAGGATGAATACCACCGTCGTCTTCATTGTTAGAGTTATACGTTAAATTGATGTGAGGTTGAAGAAGTTGAAGCGGTTGAATGTCTTTTTCCAATAAAGTAAATAGCGGGATCTTCATTCTGTAAAATAAGTAATGATGAAGGTAAACATTTCATATACTGAGTTTTATATTCAAAAAATGAAATAAGGCTTTCTCTCTCCCTCTCACGTGAATTGTTCATCCTAGATACGCCACTCGTGTAATGTATAATAGTCAAATTAGTTAGCAGTTGTATGTTTTTTAAAGTTAAACGGCCATAATATTTATTCAATGAAATGTGGTAGAGACGTGATTCATTGGATTAAGCCTTCCCAGATTCAAATCCCGGTCTACTTACTTCAGTCTGCGAAAGAGAAAAGTAGCATCAGCATCATAGATGTACTAATGGAATTAACCCTAACTCACTTCAACGACTTAGGGATTGACTTGCTGACAGGGAATAATCTCGTTGACTTAGAATATGCAGATGATATAGTCTTGCTCCTAGGTGAAGACACTGACAAAATGCAGAGTCTTCTGAACACCTTGGCAGGAAGCACTCTTCGAATGTTTGGCATGCGATTCGCTTCCGTTAAATGTAAGATGATGCTACTGGACTGGACTACATCGACTCCTAGCTTAGAAATAGGGAGTGAAGTGGTTAGTTGAGCGTATTGACGACTTCAATTATTTGGGAAGTTGCATCAGCCAATGCCAATGAGTTGATCGCTGACGAAATCTCAGCACGGATATAGAAGGCTCGTTTGGCGTATGTCACTTTACACCTTCTCTGACGAAGACATGACATCCGACTGGCTATCGACCAAAGGGTGTGTGTACTGCTCATTAGTCCACTCCATCCTTCTTTTTGGCTGTGAGACATGGCCATTAAAGGTATAAGACATAAAAAGACTAGCTGTCTTTGATCATAGGTGTCTATATCCCGCGTGAAGTGTATAATAGGGTGAGCAATATTTAGGTTAAGCATCGGTTGAGTGCTAGGTAAGGAGGGGAAATCAAACAGCAAGGCTGTGAAGCTAAATCGACTGAGATGGTTAGGACATGTGTTACACATGCATGCCTAGTCATCGCTTTCCTCGATGGGCACTGTTAGCTGACATAAAATGGATCAGGTTAGAAAAGAGGTAGTGGTAATCAAACCAAAACGTGGCTTCAGTCAATGAAATCCACAACAGTTAGTTTAAGCCAGCCAGCCAAGTAGGAAGGTTTAGACTTCCTGGTTGGAGTACTCGGGACGGTAAACACCAATGGCTGGGGACAATCAGTGATATAGCTCAAAGTCGCAGATGCATCCACTTCTTGTAACTTATAATTCCCAATAAAACTATATGGTTCTTCGATACTACTATTCTTTTTGACTCATTTCCCTGTCTACAGTCTTTATTTTGAGTTTCTTTTAACTTTCTTCTCTTGCTTTGTATGTTAAGTGGAATGCTGCAACTCGAACTGCCGCACATCGGTACAAAGTTCTATGTTTAAATCAGAATCAGTCAGTCAGAACACTTTGTAGATCAATTTTGAAGAGGGCGTTTGTTGAGATAGAGTGACCAGTGTTGACAAGATGTTCGACTGTCACACTCCTTGCCAAATGCAATACGTTTACATAACCTTTGTATTCCTGAGGCACTAGTCATATTCAGGTAGAGAAACTGGAGCTACGCATGCAAAAAGAAAATTATTCAACCCCTTCCTTAAGTAAAAGCACTATTGATTTCTGCTAGCTTGGATTTTGCTTGTTTTTCTAACTTCATATAACTCTCGTATTTCTTTACAACTCTCACATAATTCCATATTTTCCTTTGTTTCTAATTACCTGCTGATCACCTTATTACGTAACTACAACACACTTAGCTTCGATCATATTAGATAGTTGGAGGCAATCAACCACAGGAAGCCTTGGACCTAAGTTTCGTGCTAGTTGGCATTCACCAATCAGCAGGGCGTATCTGCAACCTTCATATCCCTTCTGAGATTCGAACCCGCTTCACCACCCAGTGCTTCAGTCAGAGACGTTACCACTGAGCCAGCTATTCGGGCTCACGATCGACCTCCTGTAGGACTGTGGTAGGTACTTTGATTGGACACTAGTACCTCAAATTATCTAATATCATCAAATCAATGTGTACCATGATGGTGAGCTACCTAGTGGCATAGTGGCCACATTGCAAACCTGACTGAAAGAATTCAATCTGTGCCAAAGAAAGAAAGGACTAGACATATCACACCAGTTACTAGTGTCCAATCAAAGTACACTTAACTTCTTTTACGCATTAACTGACATTAACAATTACGTGTGTGTGACAACTCATCCTGGATTTCACTGCTAGTAGTCACCAATCTACTACAATGACTTCACATTAATCTTTTAACATAATTGAAGAATCTCTACTAAGGGTCGGTCGATACAACGTAACCAATCAACAAGTAATAAAACGACTCAATGTTTGAGAACAATTAAATGAACAAACAAACAAATAAACGAATGAAAACTGAGTCAACTTACTCTGTTGATTTTTGTATAAAAGCTGAGAATGCACCGACTCGAAAATCAATTGAACAACATTCTTTTTGTATTTCAAGTATCAGCTGTACATTGTCAATAGACCAATGCAGTAAAACAGGTTGATCATTATTCATCGGAGTGGAATGTGACAAGTTGATTTCACCATTAACACTAGACAGACTACACTGAACGTGTAGAGTAATACTAAACGGTGGAATTGATGTTGACAATTCGTCATTTTCTGAATATTTTAGCTTAGTTGAATAACAACAACTACTCATTTGAGGTGATGGATAATTCATTGTGGTTCGAGTAGCTTTCATTTTCCCGTGTGGATGAGTTAATAGAGATTTATACACAATAGTTGGTATATCAGTAGATGACTCTTCTAGAATAGAGATACTATTCAATGAAGAAGTATACGGAGGTGAATGAGCAGCAGTTATGGGCAATAATTTGCTATTACAACTTGGATTTGAATTCCTACTGTAAGATGTTCTTGATAAGAGTCTAGTAGAAGTAGTGTTTTTATACACTGTCGTTGAAAAATCCAAAAGCTGCAAGGACAAAAAGCAAAATAACACATTGAAAGAAGGGAAATTCTATCGAATGTAAAGCATGTTTTTGAAATAACAGCTGGAATACTCAAACTGTTTGGAATAGATATGTAGCACACAACAACCAACCCAATCACTCTATTCAATACTATGCAGACGAAAAGATTCACCTAACAGCAAAAGAATAAAAGAACTACACCCCATCTAGAAAAAATAAATTGCACAAACTGTGACAAGGACCTATTATATAGATCTAAGTAGGCCTTCCCCCTTTGACTCTAAGTACAAGACCATTAAATAGCAATCAGAAGACACGACATGTATTCTTCCGTAAGAATACATGTAAACAATTATGGACTTGACCGAAAATGTAGAAATATTAAGCCCCTGAAAAAATCAAAAATGACAGGAAAGTCATAGAAGTCTAGTACTCAGGCAAATCTGTCATTATCAATGGACATAGTGCTTTTTTTATTCCTTAACGTTCCCAGTAAAACATAAGGTTTCAAGTTAGAGGATTGAAGTTTCTGTAGCAGTGGTGTTTATTTTTGTACGGGATGTGTTCGCTAGCCTCATGCCCAACCTTCCCTCTTTGCCAGTCTTATTACTAGCTTAGCGAAGTAAAGGAGTGCGTCTGTGGCCAGGGATCAAATCCCAGACCACCTGCATGGCTGGCGAGCATTCTATCGCTGTGTTACCGACACCTGGACACATTAGAACAGATCAGATTTATCTACTGCCAAATTCCAAGCCCAAAACAACCAACCAACCAACAACAACAAGGGTTGTCTGGAGATACAACTGTGGTGAGAGCTGGCTACAAGCCACAATTGTAGACAACAATTCACGTCAATGTTCACGTCCCGAATCAGGGTCATGAGGAAAAAACAATAACATAGCTTAATCTTGGTAAATTTTGTCTATCTCGATGTGTCGAGTGACTGATGATTCACTGGAATACCAGGCAGGCTTCTAAAAATTCTCTAGCATTCATGATGTTTCCTCTGTCTAATATTTGAACGTTGTCCCAGTCAAATTGATGTCCGTGGTTGTCTTTATGTAGTGATATGAGGGAGTGGATGTCATGTCATTTAACGGCTAGCTTATGATCATGGATACGAAAAGGAAGGGGACGTCCACTTTGGCCAACTTAGTGTTTTTCGCAGTTTTTTACAATTTATTTGGTAGATGATGTTGGTCTTATCTTCTTTCGCTATTGGGTTTTTTGGTTGACATGGAACTGAGTGAAGTGATTTTGTTGGTTTGTGTGCGACGTCAATTCCTAAAGGTTTGAAGAGTCTTGCAGTGATTTCTGAGATGTCCTTTATATATGGTAGTGCGATTTTCTTTGTGCTTTCCTTGGGGGCCTTTGATTTGATAGGTTGGCTCTATATTCATATTGCAACAAGTCCACGGAACTCCTCGTAGTCCGAAGTTAGGGCATACTGCATAATAATACAAGACATCGAAAGCACTTGACAATGCATAATAGGAAAAGGCTTCCATTCAAGCAATTCATATACCAAAAATTATGATGATCTATCTCGATTAGATGTGTCAGGCAGAAATTACAAAATATGAACAAAGTCACACAAGTAGTTGAACGATCTATACAGCTGATCTAAGGAATTTTTATTTTATTTTATTCCTTTACGTTCCCAGTAAAACTTGGGGCTTCAAGCTAGAGGCTTGAAGTTTCGATAGCGGTGGTGTTTGCTTTCAGGAGATGGAGTTCCTAGCCTCATGGCCAATCTTTTCTCTTTACCAGTCTTATTACTGGGTAAGCGAGGTAAAGGAGCGCGTCTGTGGCCAGGGATCGGACCCCGAACCACCTGTGGCGTGGTTGGTGAGCATTCTAGCGCTGTGCTACCAACGCGCAAGATTTAAGGAATGCGTTCTTTAATCCAACTTGAAATTACTTTATTGTGAATAAAGCAGACAAGTGATATCGAAGACCAAATTGCCGGTCAGCCAGGAAGGATAAGTAACAAGGAACTCTGGCAAGGAATGGATAGATTGAACATACTGTCAGGAGACAGTTGAATAACATGACACGCCAGACCTGCACTCAGTTTGGACCCGAATGTTAAATGGAGAGTAGTCTGTGGGTCCGAGGGTAACATGAAGCAGATTGTGTGTACATGTATGGAGGAAATGAAAGCTTGTGGACAATTGTGGAGCCGGCTAAAAACGACTGTACAGAACAGGGTAAAAAAGAAAACAAGAATGTGCTATTGAAACCCTGTATTCCAATCGGAACCCAAGAGAATAATATAATATATATATATATACATACATATATAAAATCTTACCTTGGGAATAACAACACTGGATAAATTGTCATAAGAAAATCTGACCACATTGACCATATGATTTAAAACTTTAAAATCCACACCTCTATAATTTTCATTTGATAAATAACTCGATTGATGACCAGTATCCAATTCAATATTAACTCGTACATTTATAGACATTGAATTAGTCTTATCACCGGGCGTCATTTGATTAGAAGTAGACACTAGACTAAGATCATTTACTTTCTCATGATTCAAATCTAAGCTGAGTGACATTTGACCAGCAAATATTAAACTATTCTCCATTAGTAAATATGCCTGACTAGCTGATATACTCCAGTGAATAGCGGTCGATTGTGGTGTAGTATTGCTCTCGTGTTTCAGCATTATCAGCATAGGCAATTCAAACAATCCACATGACCATAAACAATTACTCAGAACAATATCATCACCATCTTGGTCCTTGTTAGTCAGATCTTCTGTATTACAATTATAATTTGATGCATACAATTGAGGAAAATTGAACAGCATAGAAATATCTTCAAATTGTTTTAATAACTCTTCAAGATATTGATGATTTATACTATCAGCAAAGGAGGAAAATGTTGTTGGACATTGACACACTAATGTACATATCTTTAGGTGTTTGGTAAGAATCTAAAATATTGATTTAAAAAACAGAAAGGAAATCAAAAATTCATAGATTAAAGCTTCAAGTTCACAATCATGAGTGGTATGTAAAACAATATGTTGATCAAATAAACATTTCAGCTTTTGGTTCTGAACGGTACTCTAATTGTCATCAACTTGTAACGACAGAAGACAAGAACCAGGCAACAGATCCTTTATTGAGAAAATCGAGAGGTATTTATAGATTTTTATGTACATTATTGTTAGTGGAGAATCAATGTCTTCTGAAGGTTATTCTGTTATCTCTTTTGGGCCGTTTCTCAGAAAGTTAAGTCATATATCTGCGAATCATATTTTCACACTTTAATTCCACTGTGATTGGCTGGTGATTTTCTTAAGGTTGAGTGAGCTTTGTTATTGTTTTCTTCCTCATGAGTCTGATTCGGGACGTGCACATTGACGTGAATTGTTGTCTACAATTTCGGCTTGTAGACAGTTCTCACCAAAAACTTATTACACAGTCTTTGGATAATGTGATGTTACCTCTATGGTTTGAGCACGTACTACAAATGTCATCATCTCAACTGCTCTCAAATTGTTCACTGTTTGGAGTGAGCTTTAAAAAAAAGCTGAGGGGTAGTCGGCCCATGATGTGAAGACATAGGATGAAAGGTAGTTATGTTAGGTTGCTATCTATCTGTTGGTGCACTATGAGTCCTGGATCACTAACTGGTTGCATTCCTACTTCTCTAACAGGAAGCAATACACGGTAAACAAAGGTAAATCATCCTCTGTTGTACTCACTGAAGCCGGTGTCTCCCAAGGCGCTGTACTCTAACCACTTCTCTTTCCTTTCTTTCTACATGACTTACCATCTTCAAATGACATTAATTTTGTCAAATACGCCAACGACCTGACTGTATCTTTGCCTGTTAAATGTCAAAGTGACTGCTCTAAACTTAATGGCTTTCTGTCAGAAATCAGCCAGTGGTCCAAGGAAAACGGTCTTACCTTAAACCCCTCCAAATGCCAAACAGTCAATTTCACCTTTAGGCATAAATCCGACCTAAACAAAGTATGCAACATAGACGGCACCGAAATAGAAACCAAATCGGAAATTAAATACCTAGGCGTCATTCTATCTGCTGATCTCTCCTGGTCGTCTCATATCTTAGCGATTTCTAAGAAAATATTCCGTCTTACCTTCTACATTAAGAAGTTAAAACATTCTGGTATAACCCAACCCTTACTCCTACAATTCGTTAATTCTCGCATTCTGCCTATTATTCTCTATTGTTCCCCCTTAGTTTTTCCCGGGCTACTGAAGAAAGACTATAACATATTAAGCAGGATGTTAAAGGTTGTCAGCAGGGTAAGCAACGTGCCACTTAACCAGCTTGTTAATATTCTGGTCGACAGGCACATGGACTCATGTGAAAAATGGGCCAAATCCATTTTATCTAACTCACACCACCCTCTTCACTCACAACTCTCCCCTTGCATCTCATCAGGTAAAACCAGAAGCCTATATAGGAAACTATATGCTCGCACCAGCAAGTACAAAAACTCAACCATACCCTACTTAGCTCGTGTTCTGTGTGATAAGGAAAGCATTAGGCTTGATACCTATAACTTATTAAATAGTCAGTAGTACAACTGGATCTCGTCTTTCCAACTCATATCATTTATAGGTACAACATTTTCTTTCTTTCTTTTCCTTTTCTCTCTCTTTCTTTTACCGTTATGTGCTGCTTTGTTTCTTTCTCTCGCTTACGCCAGTAAATATGACAGCTCCTACTTTTCTAACACCTTCAAACACTGTTCAGCTTTGGCTTTGCTACCGACATGCCAATGTGTTGTTGTAATAATGAACTGAGATTTCCTTAATCTATGTAGAATTCTATTTATTGATAATGTACTAACTGGATGCAATACTGTAGTAAAAAATGCTGAGAATTCCATTCTGTATCACATGTACTGTTTTGGAATAAAGCAAATTATTATTATTATTATTATTATTATTATTATTACGACTCCCTTGGTTGGGTTCGGGAGGTAACTCGAATCACTTGGTTTGAGGTGTTATCAGATATGACGGAGAATCGTAAGCATAGGCGAACATACAGAAATTTCTTGCCTTCTGCTCTTTCTAAATATGGCATGAAATGATGAACGCTCCTTAAATACACTTGTTTTTTGTGATTCTGTTCCTCAATTATTCAGTTTCTTCTCCAGATCTTAAGGTCGTCTTTAATATACGGCGCATCTCTGGGTACCCATGTTGTACCTCATATGTGTTTAAGTAATAATAATAAAAATATGAATATGACAAAACCTCTCTTAAAATCCCCACAAGCTCAACACTTGCATACTTTCCATTTTATCAGCGTAGTTGTGTTCTCTGACGTGAATTGTTTATTTGAGAAGCAGTCATAGTCTTCCAAGAGACAACAGAAGTTACAACTCACCGGTTAGCTCACAAACTCAAATTAGTTAAAGAACCATTGGAACCCAGGAAATAATGTGCATTTGTTTCGTCCTACTTTGGAACTCTTCAGTAACTCGCAGCCATGACCCCACAGAGGATAGAATCCAGGGTCTTCGTTGAACAATCAGCTACTGAAACGGCATCTAATATCCCAAGGATTCTGACTTGTGCCACCTTGTGACGTACAAAGCCAATCCCAGGCAATGTCATCGATGGGTTTCAATCCTGACAGCCGACATGGCGGACCACACTCGTAGCGATTTCTCGCTAGAACTCCACAAGCCGTCATCAGTCGTAATTGTAATTGAAAAACTTCAACGTTTTTTTAGGACTATGCGATGATTAAATTGACTACCGCTACAAAGACATACTTAATGTGAAATATTCTATGAAATGAGGGTTAGCATATTTATTTTTTTTAAGAATAAAGAGAAGCATAAAAAACAGTCTAACCTGAATTTTAGCATTCTGTAAAATCTTTTCACAATAAACTAAACGTTTCCAAACTTCTTTCCATTGAGCCATATTCCCGATAGCGAATGAGTAGGCTGGTGAAATGACAGAGTATGCAGAAAACGAAGAAGCAATAATATTGGCTTTGATTAACTCTTTAGAGCTGATATCATCAGAACCACTTTGTGAACGAGTATTTAACTGATGCTTTTCTGAAAAAATCAATCAAAAAACAAAAACAATGCACAAAACAAAATATTTCAAGTGCTTTATTTGTAGTTTAAATATTAGAGAAAAAGAGAAAATCAGTTCTTCAAAGTCAGCTTACATACAGAAATAAATCGAAATACATAATGACAAATGGGTCAGCCCGGGTGGCTGCTAATAGGTCGACAAGTTTCTACACACAAAGTGAGGATTGCTTTTTCGATCCTTGGTGAGCACTGCTCACGGAACAGGCATATCGACTTAGAGTATGCGGATATTTCTTTTCTCCTAGGTAAGACCGCTGACGAAATCTTCGAGGTTTTGTCAACTGTAACATTGCACCGCATCACTCGTTTGTAACGACTCCAAGTTTAATGGTATAAAGTGAAGTGGCTAGAAGTACTGACCTCTCTCTCCACTAATTTGGGAAGTAACATTAGCCAAAATCAAGTGATTACTGACGAAACCTCAGCACGGATGCAAATAACTCGTATGCAATTGCTCAACTTTCGTCATCCCTCGGGTAGAATTGATATCCAGCTGTCGATCAATGGGCGTGTTTACTGGGCAGCTGTTCGCCTTATCTTTTTTTGTGACTGTGAGACATAACCGTTGAAAGTGGGAGATATGAAAAGGCTGGCTGTCTTTGATCATAATTCTTTACTTTCTACTTCCCATGTAACTTGGAAAAATATGGGCAGTAATATTCAATCTACTTGTAGATTTAGGTAAAAAAAGGAAAGCTTATGAAGGTATATCCACTGAGATAGCTAGGACGCGTGTTGTGCATAGAGTGAGGTGATGGGAACTTAACATAAATGAAGTGTAATAATCTGAAGATTTTTTCAACGGCCTGTGAGACAATCACCTGACAGTGCGGGAATACCTTTCTATAGTGAATGAATTGAACCACTAAAATTCTAATACGTTACTTCAGCGAACTGTTCGTACATTGAATGCAGTTAGTTATTTGTTGAAAATTAGGCTTTTAGAAAACATTTTCCGTAAGTTTTTTGAGAAAACTAAATACTGACCTGCTCAAAACTACAATTAGGTTCAAGATCACGAGTACAAATTTAAAATCATACATACTGTGGATTGATACGAGGGGCTGGAAACTACTTCCATCAAAGAGCATTGCTCACTATCAGTGATCTAGGGATAGGACGGCTGTTTCACTCATTTAGACTCAAGCTCATGCCTACAATGATTCCCCTAATAGATTTCGCCTCATTTGTGGCTGTCTCCTTGATCCGACAAACGATATATAGGGATCACTGATTTCAGTAGTTATCAGTTATTCATATGGCCCGGTGGTAAATATAGTTACATAAAAATCCTCAGTTGTCGGTTTGCTTAGATTCGATTGGTTTCAAGTAAGGTCTCATGACAAACCGACATCAGTTAGAGAACCAGTGAAAACCAAGAAGCGCTGGACAGCTTGTTCATCCTAGTTTGGGACTCTACAACAAATTTCGAATTCAGGACCTTCAGGTAATAACGCGACAATCGACTGCCTGAGCCAATGAGATACACATCACATATGTAATATAAACTACGGAGATTTCCAAAATTTAAGCATTAAGTGAAATTTTTAAAAAGTGCCTACTTTTTGTAAAATCTGATGTTTTCATCCCAATGAATGATTCATCAATTGAATTATTCACACATTCATTACACTCATGATGATACGATTGTATTTCACAATTCGTATTTGGTGGAGTTAAATACGAAAACCATTCAAATAATTCTCGTGTAATTAAACAATCAATTTTGTTTAAATATGCATGACAAACGATAGGCGCTATATATGAAAATTTAAAAAAAAGAAAAGAAAAATACAAATGACTTGAAAGTATGCTTAAAAATCAAGTGAGTTTTTTCGAAAAAGTCAATATCTTATAATAAAGTTAACACATTCAGAATAGATGGTTAAATGAAGCGTGAGATTTGTTATGAATATCAAATCTTAGAATAATAACTAATAATAATAATAATAATTCCCGAGCAGCTCTCAATCCATGGCATGATGACATATGCTACTGAATGATTGATATGAGTAGTTGAATTATTAACTGGCGGCTTGTTTAAATCAACAGGGCAACCAAATTTTCTTCCTATCACTCAAAATGCATCATGTTTACTGCATACCATAGAGTTTTAACCTTGCAACTGCGTTTATGAATCGTAGCCTACTCTCTCTCTCTCTCTTTCCATGCACACAGACATTTTAAGAAAGGTTTCAACCTAGTGCAATGAATACGTTGAAGGAAACGGAAGAGGAACTTCGCTGAGTAATGGAACATGTATTGGATGGAAAAATATTGTTTCAATGGATGCATTATCGATTACATTACATTACTTGAAGATCTTGAACAAGGCGTATATACCTTGCGATAAAAGAAGCTGAAAATTATGTACTATGTTTAAAACGAACTTTTCAGGAAAAAGCTATCATTATTGTTATTATTATTATTTTTATTATTATGAATCACGTCAACCAGTAGTAGTAGCCACTAAACAGACTGAAGCAAAATAAACACTGGGTTGTCATTGCGCTCGCGTCTAGGCCCAAGCTCATCCGCGGTATGTACGAAGGGATTTAGCTTAGACAGATAATTCATTTCAAACCACCTGAACTAATTGAATAAAGAAAATGACTACAGGCAGATTAGCTAGGCGGATTGCTGTTGGTTAGCCTCTAGTGCCAGACTGTTAGGGAGAATGTGTGTGTAGGTGTACTTCACTCCAGTGGAAGAAATGGATTCAGACGGATTAACACACATTTGACAGGTTAAAGGAAATGCTTATTTCAAGCGTTAACTTAGAGAATAGAAGAAGAGGAACCTATCAGCGCGTTAACACGATAATGACCTTCAATCTGGAAGTAAACTAAATCTATGCCGACATAACAATTTTACAATATACTAAATAAGATTGAATAAGCCTGACAATTCACTTCAGTAAGCCTCCATCTGACTATTGAAAAAGCCCTAGTGTGAAACTGATAGTTATAAAGTTTATTATTATTATTACTATTATTATTTGTGTGCAACAGCCACTTGCACTTTCACGCAGCTAAATCAGGCTTAGACCACCCTAAAACCAGTTCGGACATATTTAAGCCAAAGGATCACGGCAGAACGTTATTATAATGAGAGTGGACAATCTTGAAGACCAAAACTTAATCAATTATTTATTGGCTTAACTTATCGAGGTGGATAATATATTTGTGTCTATACAGCTGTGCCACCGATGCACAGAGCTAGAATGCTAGCCAACGACACATGTGGTCCGGGTTCGATCATAGATGTATGCGATCTCTTTCTCACGTTAGGTGGCATAATAAGGTAAGTAATGTTGACGTTAGGCGTAGAGTGTTGGGCAAAGAGGGAAAATCACTCAAAGAGGCTATAAAGTTACATAGATTGAGATGGCTAGGTCACGTGCTGCGCATGCCTAACCATCGCCTCCTCCTCCCGACGGGCATTACTAGCTGATGTAGGTGCAGGTTGGAAAAGAGTGAGTGATGGCCAAACAAAAACATGGCATCAATCCATGAAATCCTTGACAGTTAAACTGAGTCACGTAGGGAGATGCAGACTTCCGGGTTGGGGCCCTCGGGACTCTATGAATCAATGGCTTGAGACAATAGGAGACATGGCCCAAAATCGTTATCAATGGCGCAGATGTATTCAGTCACTGTAATCTTTCATATTCCTTTCTACCATTACTCATTCTGTTTCACTCTTATACTTGTCAAAACTCTATTGATTCTCTTCACGCATCTTCTTGTCTACCTTTGTGCGGTATTTGGAAGGTGGCAACTCGAACTGCTGCACTTCGGTGCCAAGTTCTATGTTGAATCCAGACAGACAGAGACAGACAATCCGATTCCTGGCCACAGACGCACTCTTTTACCTCGCTTACCCAGTAATAATGCTGGTAAAGAAGGAAAGTTGGGCATGAGACTAGCAACCCCATCCCGTAAAAATAAACACCACTGCTACCGAAACTTCAAGCCTCTAGTTTGAAGCTCTATGTTCCACTAGAAACGTGAAGGAATAAAATAATAAAAATTAAAAAGAATATACTTTTATATAATACAGATGGATTGTTCTCACCGGCTCCGACCAGTTTTTCTTTTATCCTTATTTCAATGGACTCTAAGGAGGTTGTGGTGATTGACAGTCGTTCTTCAGAAGGGTTAAATTACTGCCCCTTAGTCACAGCATTGTTATTAATGCTATTCATATCAACCTCTATCACATCTTGGCAACATTATCGAACCTAAACAGAGCAGTATTCTTCTCGTACGTAATACTCGTTCACATCTCAGTATAGGAGGGTGGGCGAGACCCGAAGCCACATGAGAATCTACCACCTATACTAACTAACTAATCAGCTATATAAAAAGAAACCAAAAATTAACATCAAATACACTACAGCACAAATGATTATCAGGAAACAAATTTCTTTACCAGTAGACGATAAATCATGTAAGTATGGAATTTGAACAGCTAAACAAAACAATGGTTTCATTGAAGTTTTATGCTCAGTTGACTTGTCACCGCTTCTTTCCAGAATTGGACATATTCTCCTCTTTTCATTTAAACAATTCAAGTACATCAATAAATTTGTTTCCAGACTAATTTGTGCAATAGACACACATTTTGTAAGACATAAACGAAATCTAGAAATTCCATGAATTTTTGTACACCATATCCATGAGGTTTTAGCAGCTATATTAAACGGAAAACACAATGAAAACAAAAAATTAACTTATTTTGGCGATTGGGTGCATTTTATAAAGGAGAATGACATGAATATCAACCACCAAAAATGTTTGAAAAGTAGTAATCAGTTCACAGTGGCATATTGTCGCGCAACGGTCTCCTCCTCAGAGTATGTCTCAACCATCTTTATTTCCAAGTATTGGTTTGTAGGGATTTGATTGATCGGCTAGAGGATTTCATCATGAACTGACACCTTGTAACCAGAAGGTCCTGGGCTCAAATCTTGCCGGTGGGTGCGTACTGCTGAAGAGTCCCAAGCTAGGCTGACGAAACAGCTGTCCAGCACTCCCTGCAAGTTTTCCAATCGTTCTCTAATCAATGTCATCTCACGACGAAATTCTGTAACCATCTTTATTTTCAAGATAATTGGTGGATGGTGACTAGCAGTGGAATCCGGGATGCGCATTTTGTCCTATTCGGGACTCGTCATCTGGATGTGTCTCAGGTACATCTTTTTTTCCTCTGCATATTTATTGGGTGATAGGTTTTCTGCCAGTTCATTATCAAATTTCCCTGTTGCTTATCTTTTCTGCCCTTATGATCTTTAGTATAGAGTGAAAGACATGAGAGTTAACTGCTCATATTATGTAATTCTGTTCTTCCTTCATTTATAGATATGAGAGAAGAGAAATAAATAGCTTATCGGTCAAAATACTGGGGCTTTTCACACCAATAAATCGCAAGTTCACCCATCACATACAGCATCCACCTCTAATTGACTTTAAACAATATTATATTCAAATATCATAAGAATTCATACAAGAAGTATCGGTCATATATTCCACTACATTAAGGGCAAAGAATTCACTTTGTAATTGTATTTCATTCTATTACAGGGGATTTTTTTAAGGATTATCTACTAATACTGTTTGTTTCTTGTGTTCAGAAATTATATTATATATTACAACTCCATAACCACTAGTCTGCCTTTCTACGCAGTTGGCAACGAGACATACACGTACTGCGCGAAGAATAATGATACGAACTGCCTGCACGAACATCGGTAGGTGGAGCAGTGTTGAAACCCATGACCCAATAGTGCCTAGGTCACTCAATCACCTTTCCACTGTGTTCCATTTGGAGTGTACGGCTTTGACGGTACATCTTCGTTGTACTTGGTTCTCTGCAATCACCCCTGCCACTGGCTTTCTAACTGCCCTCACATTATCTTCTCCATGTCACTCTCAGGCACCCAACTCACTGCTTTACACAACTCCAGATTACCTTCAAAGGCATTTTTCAAATTAGGCATTTATCATTAAGTGTATATCAGAATACCAGTAAAATTTACACCATAATATACCTGAATAACAACAATAGGGAGTTTCGACGATTATTTCAATTTAGTAAGTCCATATGAATTGGATGTTGATATAAGAGGGTAGTGAAAAAAGTGATGAGTTGTCACAAACGATAGTTAAAGAACAGTTACGTAATAACGTGAATGGATTGGTGAAAGAGTTGTGCTCAGGGTGTACATGGAAACAAAATAACATACGGAATTACTCAAGAGTTTTGAGTAGTGAGAAAAATAAGCATACAGACAAAAGTCAAGTCAAATCAACAGAGTTGTTACCATGATAGTAGAATTGGTCGAATAATTTTCTTTTGTATGCATAGTTCTGGTTCTTCCAACTGAATGGCTGGGGCTTCTGCGATGCAGTGTCTTTGGCAGGTTGTTCTTCACTTTGTAGATTACTTTGAAGCAGGAGGCGTTTGTTGAGATGGAATGATCAGTGGTGACGAGATGTTCGATTATTGCACTCCTTATACGGCCACTACTTCCTTTCTGCAGCCACGCTCGATAGTGTTCTTTGACCCTTTTTGACAGGATACGAGTTAAACGACCGGCACCACAGCAAAAGGTGAACTGATATATACACACATAGAAGTGGTCAGGTGCGGGATATTATCCTTTGGGCTTCTGCAGATCATCAACAAACTATTAACGTTATCAAGTAACTCTTCTTTAACGATTGTTTGTGACAACTCAACACTTTTGTTACTACCCTCTTATATCAACATCCAATTCATCTGAGCTTACTAAGTGCATTTTCGTTTTATTACGTAACTCTTCTTGAACAATCGTTTGTGACAACTCATCACTTTTATTTCAAATTTAGTCTAAAATCCAAAACAGAGATACCATTTTATTAGCTTAACACTAGTGAAATAATCTCGTTAACAAGAGATTCTGAGCTGGATACCTGATAGGATCATGGAAGCGCATTGTTAATATCGGTCCATGACAAAATCTACATAGATATCAACCAAAATTTGAAAAATACAATACTTGCTGAAATTATTTTTTTTAAAAGGGTGAATTTACCTATAATCATTAACTGACCTGAATGAGAATCATTTTCTGGCTGATATTCATAAACTGGAGGTAAAGAAAGCCACATATCCTCAGAATAACAATAAGCTTTTAAATGAAACAGTTGATGGAACAATTCACCCAAAATATATGATAAGTAATTAATACTTTGTAAAGAAAAGTACATTTCCATTGTGTTAGCCAGTGTCAGTCGATACTCCAAGTGACTTAGAGATGGTGAACTCCTGTAAAAAAAAAGAGACAGAATGAAGGAAATAGAAGAATATGAGTTCCAGCTCACGTAACATACATACGTACGTACAATTATGTGAAACATCGCAACAGACTGGCGTAACAAACTGTTATGTTTTATAATAATAATAATAATAATAATAATGATTTACTTTATTCCAAAAACAGTTCTTGAGATACAGAATGCAATTTTCAGCATTAACCACAATATTGCATCTAATTTCCTCAAATTATAAATAAAAATTAGTCACACAGAAACTTTTCCAAATTTACAATAGGGGTAATGTAAAAAACATGCAGCATATAAAATGGAAATAATAATAATAATAATAATGGTAACAGCTAAGGTAATAATAATAATAATACAAGGGAAAATTGCCGTGGGCTTGTTTCACACAGTACTGTCAATGCGGTATATAAATCCCAGTATGTTTAAAAATATTGAATATAATGTTCTCTTTATATGATATGGTGAGGGAAAAACAAAGATTACAGCAATCATAGAGATAAGTTGGTGTTTGCAATTATGAAAGTAAAACAAAGAAGCAACAGGACAATAAATATAATAGAAATCATAAAAGTAAAACTTGAAGGTATATAAGGATGGATGGAGGAAATTGTTTATTTACTAGATGAAAAAAGTTTAGTCAATTCTTGCCTGACACTATTTTCATCACATAAAATACGTACGAAGTATGGTATCATAGAATTTTTATACTTAGACATGCGAGCATACATTTTTCTGAAGTTACTTCTTGTTCTACCTGAGGAGATGCAAAGTGGATGCTCTAAGTCAGACAAAATCCCTTTAGCAAATTTAGTGCACGAAGTCAAGTGCCTATCGACAACGGCGTTAACTATGTAGTCCACTGGGACACCACTCATCCTACTGACAGTCTTCAGCATTCTACGAATTGTGACATAGTCCTTTTTAAGCAAACCAGGAAAGAATAAGGGTGAACAATAAAGGAGAATAGTTAGGATGCAAGAGTTTATGAACTGTAAGAGGAGGGTTTGAGTTATACCCGAGTGCCTTAACTTCTTAATGTAAAATGTCAGGCGGAATATTTTACTGGAGAAGACCAGGAGAGATCAGAAGAGATAATAAGTCCAAGATACTTAATTTCTGATTTAATTCCTATGTCAGTTGATGTTGATGGAATCCAGAACTCGTCAGCCGGATACACTTGCATCCTTACTGGGCAGTTGTGTTCCCAGCGAGATTCGAAAGGCAACACCCATCATTTCAAACGCTAAGGTGTTATATCCAGTAGCCCACTCAATCATGGATATCGCCTACTATCTGTTTAAGTTACCTTCTATTTTGATTGATTGATTATATTCGATCGAAATGTATTCAAGGATGTTTTAAATTCCATTCCCTTGGTGGTACTATTACATGCATAATACTAAAAACACGGGAGGCAGAACGCAAACATATGCAGTTAAAGACAGTTAGCCTTCTCATATCATCCACACTCAGTGGGCCTGTCTCACAGCGAATTGCTGCGCAGTAAACATATCCTTTGATGCATAGTTGGGTATCACGTCTACGCCACGGAAGACGCAAGGTGATGTAAGACACCACACTAGGCTTTCATACTCGTGTTGAGCTATCATCAGAGACCAGTCAATTAGGGCTAATGTATGTATTCATACATAAACACCCTAGAGTATGCTGGAATTAAAATTTGAAAAAACACAAGCAGATGCAAGTATTTCAAAATGAAATTCAAGCTGACAAAAAAACTCACCATAGCTGGGGACAATTCAATGACCAAAATATACACTCAAGACTAGACAATTTAAAAATCGTCACATTATCGTTAGATTTATTGGCAGTTGTGGCAGTAGTAGTAGTAGTAGTAGTGGAGGTGACTTGTGCATTTGTGGAAGACTGGTGGCTCACATGAGCATTCCTGACTAGATCAACAGATATTCCAGTGAATTGGATAATTGTCCGGTTATAACAATAAGCTATTAACTGTTTATTCCATTCTTTATTATTACTTGACATATTCAATACATCTGAGTGTATATCTTGTAACCAATCATCGACGCGTTTAGTTGGATTACATAACTCCAATTGGATAAATTCATAACTACGTTTAAATAAATACGGTGGGATGTTTAAACGCGTAATAAGCTGAACAATATCATACGGGTATACAGGTGACCGACTGAATAAGGATATATTCTCTAAGTGAATTTGTAGCTGAGGAGATAAGTTATTCTGAAAAGAAACAGAAAAGGAAAGTTTTTTTCTAAATACTATATAAAAAATCGTGATTAGAAAAAGAAAACAACAGCTTAGAATCAAATTCATCATTTATAAATTACACAGTTCAAAATGAGAGGACTCATCATAGTCTCCTATGGCTAGAAAAGGTCACTATTAACTAATTTCACTGTAGACTTCTTTAAGAACCAATATGCGTTAGAGATCATTGAACTCGTAACCTGAGGGTCGCAGGTCAATCCCGAGAGAGTTCGTGGGTGTGCACTGCTGTAGGGTCCCGATATAGGACGAAAAAGCTGTCCAGTAATCCCTAGTTTTGTGGAGTTGTAGCTGATTGAATTAGGAGTCCAGCTTTCAGCCAATGAGTATGGGGGTTCAAATCTAGTTTTATCAGACTGGATATCTGGGTGGTATCATCGGACTTTCGCACGATAAGGGTTATCTGTAGCATGAGAAATCCGATCCGGGATAACTGAGTTCTACTGACATAAGGCTTGATTTTTGTCATTCCTTTTGCGTACCGAGTGGAACATAGGGCTTCAGCTTTGAGGTTTCAGTAGTAATGTATTTTTTACAGGGTGACGTTGCTAGCTTCACGCCCAAACTCCCCTCTTTATCGGCTTTGCTACCAGTTAAGCTAAGTTTAGGAGTATATCAGCCAGGAAACGAATCTGGACCACGTGCGCAGTTGGCGAGCATTCTTCCAAAGATGCGAATTATTTACAAATGCCTGACAAAAGTACCTAGACTAGCCACTTCAAATTGTATCTACTAATTCAACTGCGCTCGTCGTGGAGCGAGTTATATTGGCCGTTGCTCTAGGGACTTGATTTTTCTTGCCCGCTCGAGAACTTCTCCCAGTATGGTTAAGTAAAGGTGTAGTGAAAACCACTAACAGTTCGATATTGGACCATCTGGTGCAAACCGACAACAAAGCCAGCCACCATTGAAGAATCCTTCTCTATAGTCTACCGAGTGCCTAATAAATTACCGAAATCATCGAAGCACCGCATGCTCCAAACAGCAGAGGCTATTGAAATTCGCCTCAAACAACCAGTGCTCCGTGTTCAAAAGAAGCAAGTCCAGCCAGCCCCTACTACTGTCCTGGCCAGCCTTCAGTAGAGACTATAAATTCATGAATTTGTAATATTATCTTTCCTAATTTTTCTGACATTCAGCTTATTTTATGTTGATGCTACTGAGCTGTAATCCACTGGTATTATTGTTATTGATTCAATGTTATTTAAACGACATTAATATTGTTCATAACACCAATTCATTCATTCACTATAATGTATATATAACTGTAGAGCCTGATGAAGAGCAGGTTATCGAAAAGAGTACTCTTTGTTCAGTATCCATTCTTTTGAAAAAATAAGTTTTGAGATTTCAGGTTTTGTCAGGATTGTAATTAAATTCAGTGTAAGTCTCACTGCTATGAGCCAACATCATTTAGAGAATCCCTAAAAACCAAGAAGTACTGAACAGCACTATATCGCGAATCGACAGAGATTACAACCCACACACACAGGTGACTGGTTTCCAAGCCGGTAACTGAAACGTCAATATTCTTGCGTTCCATCCCTGGATACAGTTGTGGATGGGCGCTTTTGAAGAGTCACGAACTAGGACGAAACAGCTATCTAGTACTCGATAATCTTCTCATTAACGTCGGTTCACAACAAAATCTCCTAAAAGAGATATTTTCAATTTCATATTTTAAAAATTATAAGATTATAATTACACGAACTTACTCTGTTAAAATTATGAGAAGTATTTACAGATATTGTCCCAGCGCTTATATCCAATTGTATATTACACATTGGAATATGCTGTGAATAACGTGATAAAGACATTTCATTCGGTGTAGATGCAGAATTGATATCTATCATTGAATAAAAATGAAAATGGAACCATTACTTACCCAAAAAACATCAAGCATAAAATAATGAGACAGTTTGAACATTTGTTTACTTTGATGGGAAAAGTGTTAAAACAAACAGTCTGCAAAGTTCTGTGACGTATGTTATCACCATCAGTAAATGTCTTCACACCCAAATTAATGGACCCTAACCCCCCCCCCCCAACAACGCTTGTGGGCACAAATTCGAGAACAGTCTATAAACTCTACCTCATAGTCATCCACTAATGACGAGTGGATTAATTGTTGGTTTTTAGGGATTTTATTGATTTAAAGTAGGATTTCATCAATTAATCGATATCATTTAAACTGGCTGGCGGTCAGGCGATAATTCACCGATTTGCAGGAGTTACAATTGATGAGCTATTGGGTATACAAGCTCGCCTTCTGAACTCAAAAGCACAGGTTCGAACTTTGGTGGGGTTATGCGTGCATACCGCAGAAGGATCCCAAACAGGGATGAAACGGCAGTCCAGTACTCCCTAGTTTTCAAGGTCCCCTAACTAAAGTCCGCTAGTGATTAATCATGGAATTTTACTTTAATCTGACATGAACCGAATCCCTACAAACTACAGTTTGACAATCTATACAGTTTCTTTAAACGGAGAAATTCTATAACATGCTTCTTTCGACAGTTTCTTTGTAAACAGAGTGAACATAGAGAAGACAGAGGCGATGAAAATACCTAACTAATAACATCAAGCATAGATTACTATCAATGGAACAAAACCAAAGGAAATCACCTCTGCCACTTATTAAATCAGCTTCGTTTCCACTACATACATAGAGAGGTACAGATAAGGGTGCCAGAGGCAACCAGGATCCGAAAAGTATGACAAACCTTCATTAATTTGAAATAACTTTGGAAATCAGTCAGTATACGGAAAAGCACTTAAATTTTAAACATTAATGTCAGGTCAGTGCTTCTAAATGCTACGCACACCTGGCGTATGCAGACTTTCACCAACAGCTGCCTTCGCTCCATATATGAGATGGCCTGTCGGTCCTAAAGGACCAGCAACAGAGAACCTACGTAACCAACCAATCAACAGCCTATCGCCCAGGGAGGAAGTTAAAGATGGATTGGACATATGCTAAGATCACTGAGAAACATAATGCACCAGGTGCTCGAGTGGAAACCGAATGGGAAACGACGAGTTGAGCTTAGGTTCAAGTGTAACACGGAGGGAATCGTGTGAGGGTGAAATAAAAGTGAATTGGCAATCGTGAAGCCATCCACAGAAGAATGTAGAAAACAAAGTGGGGTGAAGATGCGCTGCTAAATTCCTACGTTCCACTAGGAACCCAGGAGAACATAAATAATGAATTTTCCGTCGAATATAAGTACAATTGTACAGCAATTTGAAAATAACTCATTGAAACCAAAAGAATATCATATAAATAAAATTCAATGCTTTCCACAAGAATTAGTCTGTATTAACAATTATATACGAAAACCTTGTGAATATGTAAAATACATAAACGAGATACTAAGTAAACTTTTTGAAACAAATACCTTCTTCTGTAATTGAACATGGAGGATATGGATGAGAAATTTTATAGGCATTTACTAAACCTCCCAAACGATGAATTAAACTCGGTGATACTTCTACTGAATACGAACCAAGTAGACAACGGTTATAAATATACTCTCGTACACCGTTCACTTGATGTTGACGAACAGATGGAACTAAAAAAAGAGAAGTAACAATTAAAAATAAAACAAAAACCTATTTTTAGATGAGCGACAACGATTTTATGATGTAATTAGTGAAAAAAAAATCACTGCTGAATTCAGGTTTATTAATACAAATTTAGTTATTTTACTGTGGAGCTGCGACTCATTTTTTCTAGTTGCTCGACTTGCAACTGTGCGTTGATGGTACAGCGGTAGGGCGCTCGCCAACCAACCACATAGTTCGGGGTTCGATCCCCGGCCAACGCACACCCGATATCAATAGTCGGCCTGCAAAATTTGGGCTGCCGATATCACATGCTGAAAATTCCATACTTGTATCAAAAATACTGTGTGGAGTCAAGCTATAATAAAAAAATAAAAAATAAACTAGTGATGGGTGACGGGTTCTAACCCTGCCCCACCTACCGAGATTTAGGCAAACATATAGAGTTACTGTCTCTCAAACAGTAGTTTTGGCTTATCGCCAACAGCACAGAACTGAAAGGGATTGTTGCGTATCATCTCATTAACAGACATTTAGATTGAAGAAACTGGCTCATGGATAGAGAAATAAGTCTCATTGTTTTGAGCACTTGACATACATCTAATAGGTCTTAAATTCGAAGTCCCACTTCGTCTAATTCAAACTGGATAATTAGTTAGTATCAGCAGTCATCACACAATACGTATGACTAATAGAAAATTTATTGCCGGCTATTAAGTTCACTATAATTACGAAATATAATTTCACTATGTTATACGCGTCGGTGGTTCAGTGGTAGGCTGCTCGCCAACCAAAACACACTTGCTCCAGGGTTCGACCCCTTGCCGATGCACCCCCAGACTTTACTAAGTTGGTTAGAAGGCCGGTAAAGAGGTGAGATTGGGCGTGAGTCTAATAACTCCATCCCATAAAAAAAAAAAATAAAAAAACCACTGCTACCCAAACTCCAAAGCTCTAGCTTGAAACCCTATGTTCCACTCAGAACATAAAGGAATAAAATAACAAAGATGAAAAATGTTATGTACAGTCAGAGGCAGATTTCGTCAGGGGCCGATATCAATTAGGGAATCGTTGAAAACGAAGGAACAAATGACTGGCGATTTCTTTATAGTCTGAGGCTATTCCATAGTGAACACATGCAAAACTCATCAGCCATCGAACCCAAGATCTTGAGGTTCCGAATTGAACGTCTTGGTCAGTCGTGAAATCTACATTGAAATGGATCAAACTTTCTATAAAATCTAAAATCCGACTACAAATTGTTTAATTAGTCCTACAAATGTAAGCATTTATATCTTACATTGTATTAAGAATACGGATCCAAACAAAGTAATTTACTAACATCAGCTGCAGACAATATGATATAAAACAATTGACCTAGATTTGTACTGCTTGAATTACTAAGCCAAAAATAATTGGTTAGAGGATTTCATCATGAGCTGACATCAGTTAGAGGACCATTGGAAAACCAGCTAGGAGTACTGGATAGCTGTTCCTGTGGCCTTCTGGTTACAAGGCGAGCTAGTTCGTAAACCATTAAGCCACTGGGACCCGACCCAATGGCCCATGAATTCTAACTCCTGCTAATTCATGACATAGCGCGACCACTTCACAATGTCTTCTTCGATGAGTTACTGTCACATCTTCAACCTGCTGTACCCTACTGGTCACGGCTTCCCACTAGAACCCCAGGTTAACTGCCTGAATAGGGCCAGTCACTAGTGAGCATCAGATTAATTTTCAATTATTAGTTTGGTAGGGATTTTGTTTAATTGCATGGAGGATTTCATCATGAGGCAGTAACTCATCTAGATTCTTTTCAACTGAGTACAACTTTAACAACATCTTTGATGTGGTTGTGTTCTCTGAGCTGGATAGTTAATTTGCGAAGCTTTCATCACCCTACTAGGCGACGTCTTCAGCACATACTTCAATTTGAAGTGAGCTATTAGATTCTCCACGAGTTTATTAATCATCTCTCCTGGTGACCTTGGATGTTATTATTATTATTGTTTCCTTTAATTCCTAGAGGAACATGGGGCTTCAGCCGTGCGTCTCCATTGCGTTCGGTTCTCTGCTAGAGTTTTCACCTGGCTCCAAGTCTGCCCACACGTCTTCATCTCCTCTTCACATGACCTCCTCCAAGTCACCCTCACACTCACGACCAACTCGCCGCTTCCCTTTCGGGATCCACTCGAGCAATGGCTTGTCTAGTGATGTCACTTGATGACTTCCTCAGAGTGTGGCCAATCCATCTCCATTTCTTCCTGCCTATTTGTTCCACAATCGGTTCTTGGTTGGTTCATTGCCAGAGGTCCCTGTTGCTGATATTTTCTGCCCAGCCATCTGATCTCGAGTACTGAGCGGAGACAACTGTTAATGAAGGTCTGTAGTTTGTTTGAGATGCTCTTTATGACGCGCCACTAATTATGTAAAGCTGTAATCCACTAAAACCCCACTAATTACTTTATAAATAATTTCACAAACCTGTTACACTAAGCAAAATGATAGAATCAGAAGTATTAACTAGTGCAAAAGTCAATTATCAGTAGGGAATCAACACTTCGAGTTAATTTCTTTATGTCGCCTAGTTTTATTACAACAGATAGATATACGATACAAGGAGGGCGAAAATCTCATGAAACTGAGTGCTCCAGTTGAAGTTTAGTGTGTTTAACTCAGAAACCCAATTACTTGGCGTCAGCTTTTCATGCATTCAGTTATGAATTACACTTCTTGCTAGAAGGCCAACAACACTACTCAGTAATTCAAGCTGAATTAGCTGGAACTCGATTCGAAAGGGGAGACGCAATGGCTAAAATTTTTGACTTATTTTAGTTTTATTTGCTGACAGATTGACAGATTTCAAAAGAGAACTTTGCAGAGAAGTGCAACAATTCAAGTTGAAACACTACGTCAAGCACACAATGATATAGAAAAGAAGGAAACAAGGAAGAAGAAGACGAAGACGACGGTTTAGTGGATCCGGGCGATCCCCAAAAGTGAATACATTAGTACCACCATTGAGAATGGTTTTGAGCCAGATCATTATAAGTCTCCAGCCAACGACTGGGACACTGTTAGCTTGCAGAGCTTTCAAATGTTTTATACCATTTAGAGTTTTTCTTTACATCTGTGTGCTGTTTATACTAATCTAGTACTCTGTCACTTTCTTATAGAACTATATAATCGGTTATGATATAATGGATATTGATGCCTTTTACATAAAACAACACTACAGTCTCACTTAGTTTTCTACGTAGTAATAAATATAGCGAGATGAAAAATTACTGTTAACCATTGTAAGACCAAAGTGAATCAGTGATTCTACAGCAAAATGTTCACCAGCCCACATGGTAGATCCGAATTCATTTTCCGCTCAGTTTACTAACCTCATAAATACGCCTGGAAAAAAGAGGGTAGATTGGACATTAGGCTAACAACTTCATTCTATAAAACAAAAACACCACCATTACAGAAACTTTACACACCTTCACAGCCCTATTTCCCACTAGGAATGCAAAGAAATAAAGAAAACAAGAAAACAGTGAAATTAGACTAGATTGAATTACAACTACAACTCAACTTCCAAGTAACAGGGAATTTTCAAAATTTATATTATATTTGAAAACTTTTTTTGCCAACAGTTTGGTTGGCAGTGTTTAAATTGTGAAATTGTTATTTCTACTTTTGCTGTTAGAAAGCTGAAAGTAATCAGCCGGAAACCATCGACCCAGGTTTTGTGCTTGTTGGCATTCACAAGTCAAGTCAGTAAGGCGTATCTGAAACCTTGAAGGAATTCATGTCCCTTCTGAGACTCGAACCCGAGACGTTGGCACTAAGCTATTCGGGCTCGCGATTGATTGGACACTAGGTGGTAACTAAGGTCATTTCTATATTCCTTCATTTGGTGTAGACTAAATCAAAGGACAATCTTCAGCCCGAATAGCTCAGTGGTAGTGTCTCTGACCACAGCACTGGGTGACAAGGGTTAAAGTTTCAGAATAGACGTGAGAGTTTCTCCAAGAGTGCATATACGCCCTACCGACAAGTTCAAGGCTTCTCGCCGATTGCCTCCAACCACCTAACAACAAATTAAAGTGCTCAGGGTGATGGTGAGCAACCTAGTATGGTGGCCACATTGCATCAACACTAAAGATTAGACGCATAACGTTTATTTACTACCTAATGCCCAATCAAAATCTCTACTTTTTAATAATTTCTATTTATTTGAATTTGAATCAATTAAACACTAAAATAGTAAGTCATACATTCCTTTGTCATCCACGCCTACAAACATGATAGTTACACTAATAATATTAGTCAACTTTTTGAACTCATAAAAACATCGTAAGAAATGTATAATATGCTGATTGAAAAACTGAGTGTTTACAATTCTTTGGTCATAATACCACCTTTGGGTTATTTTTCTTTTATTCCTTCACGTTCCCAGTGGAACATAGGGCTTAAAGCTAGAGGATGGGGTTGCTAGCCTCATGCCCAACCTTCCCTCTTTGCCAGTTCTATTACTGGCTTAGTGAGGTAACAGGGTGCATCGACCGGGGATCGAACCCCGGACCATGTGTGTGGTCGGCGAGCGTCCTAACCGCTGTGCCACCGACGCACAACCAGAGAGGGGCGTGACGACGCAGACCTTTGGGTTATAGTATACAAAAAAATAAAACTAAAGATTTTAATAAAAGATAACTTACTATCTGAAGGTGTAACATGTGAATCATCCAAACTAAGCGAGCATACTGAATCAAACCAAATGCCTGGATAATGCCTGCGTACATCTTTATCTTTTAAATGTTTGCTATAATCACTTAGCGTTAAAATAGGTGAATATTGAAATTCAGATAATTTATCGTTGGTATGTAAAGTATTATCACTTCCACCACTATAAGAATGTTGTTGTGATGAAACAGCTGAATAAAATATTTCCCGTGGATGAAGAAAAGATTCCGATGATGACGGCGATGAAGACGACGAATTGGAATTTATCGGATAACATCCAAGTGATATGAAACTGGGTTGGATTCTATCAGGCTAATGACAAAAAGGAAAAATAAAAGAGGACAGATAAATGAAACAAGCACATCTGAAGGATTTATCATCACAACTATGGTTACATGCTTCAAATAGCGCTATATAACTGCCTATTACTAGTGATTATCATTAGCATTACTACTATTGCAAATAGGTTCCGTGTAGACCATAGGGCTTCAGCAACACATTGCCATTTCACTCTGATCCTTTCAGTCAACCAAAGGGTGGGTGTACTGCTCGGCAGTTTTCGATCAAAAGTGCCTGCGTTCTATATTCCGTGTTAAGTGGTATAATAGGGTGGGAAATATTGAGGTTAGGCATCGGTTGATTGCTAGGTAAGGAGGGGAAATCAATCAACAAGGCTGTGAAGTTACATCGACTGAGATGGTTAGGACATGTGTTACACATGCATGCCTAGCCACCGCCTTCCTCGACGGGCAATGTTAGCTGACATGGGATGGAGCAGGTTGGAAAGGAGTTTGTGGTAGTCAAACTAAAACATGGCTTCACCAATCAATCAAATCCACAACAGTTAGTTTAAGCCAACCACGTAGGAAGGTGTAGACTTCCTGACTGGTTGGGGTCCTCGGGACGGTAGACACCAATGAAGGCTGGAGACAATCGGTGATATAGCTCAAAATCGTTCTCAATGGCTATCGCAGATGCATCCACTCCTTGTCACTTAAAATTTCCAATGAAACTATATTGTTCTTCTTTTTCCTGTCTAGTGTCTCTATTTTCGCATTTCTTCTACCTTCTCTTGCTTTCTGTACTACATGGAGTGTGGCGAATTGAACTGCTGCACATCTGTGGAAAGTTCTATGTCGAAAGCAGACAGACAGACAGTCTCTTTTAACTGGCTTCACGATCGCCCACAAGCCTTTATTATTTCTTCTTATGCAGTTTTCTCCGTCTCATCCTTGGACTTACGTCTTCCCATTCAGATTCTAGACAGCCGGCCTGGAATGTGATTTCACTTAACGGTCTCCTCAGCGTGTTTCCGACCCATCTCCATTTTCTTCATTATATTTGTAGGGTGATAGATTCTTGGTTGATTCGTTGCCAGAGTTATTTGTTACTTATCCTTTTTCGCCGGCTGTTTGATCTTCAGTACGGACAGCTGTTATAAAAGTCTGCAGCTTGCTGGAGGTGCTTTTGGTGACCTGACCTGAAAATCCAGAGCGTGTTCCTTATGCTGGGGGTGCAATAGATTTTTACACTGATCTCAGACTAATGAAGATCCGTCTTGCTTCTCCGATCCTGATTGTCTTTGACATTCTCAGCTGTACTGCCTGACGTCTTATACTGCTACTTAAAATCAGTGGGCAAGAAAAAGATTACAATTCTCGATACTGTCAGTCACTTATTGACATGCATCATTAAGGAGAGTATCTGTAAACTTGACAAAACTCAATTCCAACTGAAGCTAAAAACTTGAAGAATTAGACCTTTAGATAAAAAAACTTCCTGACATTATAGACAATACAAATATGCAGGTTACTCACCGACTGCCAACCGACACGGCTTTTTTAGTTCCTAGTGACGATACAAATTAGTTGATTACTCCTCTCCAACAAGATTTAAAATACATTTTCAAACTTCCTACACCTTAAACATTTTTACTATGATTACAACCAGTTGATTAAGTTCAGTTGTATCTCACATAACTAGATGATGATTAAATCACAAACAGGATGGTGCGTACAACTGAAATCCTTGAGATCCTAAGAATCCATTTCCTGGGTGATTCAAAGTGATAAAAAACTCGCCAATCACTCAGCAGGCTCGGGTTCGATTCCCGGACGACTGACTCTTAAAACTTCACCTAGTTTGCTGGCCAGAAGTAATCCAGAAAAAGAGGGAGGGTTCGGCATGATGCCAGAAACCCCTCATCATAGAAACAACACCATTTCTACTGATGAATTTTCAGAAGCTCAAAGCTCCGTATTCCACTCGGAACTCAAGAAATGGAAAAAACAACCGACGACATATTTCTTTTTTTTGACAATTTCAACGAATAGATATAAACACGAATAAAATAAACCATTTTGGAGTCGTTACGTTCACTGAACTGTACAGTTTAGTTGAGAATCTTTTATAGTCCTTTTGGACATATTCAGCGCTAACTGCTGTGTGAGGTAATGTAACACACTTATTCTTCTATTAAATACAAAATAGCTGTATGTGATGAAAAGTAGCATATTATCATTGTTACAATTATTATTATTATTATTATTATTATTATATAGACCTACATTATCATCATAGGTACAGGCCTTCGATACAGGACATTTTGATACATTTGCACTACCGGAACTGAGACTGTCAACTGCTGAAATATGAACAGTATCACGCTGTGAATTGTTTGCATACTCCGACTGTCCACAGCAACAAACACATCCTACAGGATAACAATGAAATCCACGAATTCCAAGTTGAACAAGACGAAAATAGACATCACGTAAGGTTGTTTGGAAGGCAATGTCCTAAAAGCATTCCATCCGAAAACAAAAGTCAAACAAAACAAGAAGTATTTACACAAAACTATAGTTTTTAGTAGTTTTCAACGCTAAATAGAACAGACTAACTAATATACATTAACAGCTATTGTGGTTATCTGACTTGTGTGCCAAATAGATAATCAGGGATAAAAGATACCCATTAAGACATGACCCGACCAATAGCTGGTACCTTGATGTAGTGGCCAAGCTTGTATATCTCAATGATCCAAGGAGTTACACTGGCTAGAAAGAATGTTCCTGCAGGTTTTATAATGCTAGAAATATCGTTTGGATGGCAGCTGGACTAAAAGCAGTTATCATCACCTACATTATATTGGGATTCTGATAGGCAAGTAGTACTGTTTGTTGGCGGACAGGAATGCAAAAGCAATGCGATACTTTCCATGAACGAACAGAGAGCCAAGTATGCTACCTCTCCTCTCTGAGGAGGTGGGTTAGTAGACGCTGACATCGAAAATTGCACATGCCGACTTACCTTGCGGTGGCAAGATCTTTATACGGAAGCAACCCCAAAGACCACTTCAAACAGGTCGTGTGTGATCGGCCCCAAGAAGTTGTCCTCTGCGCTCAATGGTTACACAGTATTAATGCTCCATCTGTTTCAGATACCCCAAGAAGAAATCAACTTCCTTGGTCTGGCCAAAGCTCACAAAGCTTTCCTAACCAGCATTCACCTCCATCATTTTCATCATCTTGTTTTCCTCTTAATGTTAATAATATACCACAGGAAAGTCCTTCATTTTCTCTTAACTCCACAAACACAAATAGCGACAAGAGAAGGAAAAACACTACTGACAGTCTCTTAGAACCACACTATCAACTTTAAGTTGGAGTATTTAACATTAGAACCCTTTGCCAAATCTCAAAACAGGTTACACTGACTAGAACTCTAACATCTCAAACAATCGATGTATGTTGTCTCGGAGATATGCATACAATTTATCCCTAATTGCGAAGATGGTGAATCTGTAAAATTCATCATGCGCACGTCAGAAGATTTTTTAGTTCACGTGGACTTTTTTCTACGGGAACAGCACTGAGCACTAGGGCAGAAAAATCCTTACTTAATTGGATCCCAGTGAATAGTAGATGTTTTTTCATAGTTTCCACTTATCCTCCAACCCCCCCCCCGCAACCGACTGTAGTTTGGACGAAGTAAAAGATGAGTTCAATCAAAGGCTGCCTAGTTTACTGCTCTAGACATATATAGTCATTTTAGCTGGTGACTTCAATGCTCAAGTAAGGAAGCTGTGCCAGTCGGAAAATATATTGGTAGAGAGTATGAAGTCATGTGCGCACGAACCGATAACGGTGATCGTCTTTTACAACTCTATTCAGATATTTATCTGTTCCTAGTCAGCACTAACTACAAACATACGGACAGAAATTGCCTAATCTGGTGACCATTATCAATTCGACGATAGATCATGTAGCTTTAAGTTACAGATGCAGATGCTCGGTAGAAAACTGAAGCTCCTTCCGGAACACCTACGCATGCTTCCATCATGCTCTAGTCCATGGGCGTATAAACCTAAAACTGAACAGATATTGAAAACAGGTAGCCAGAAACCTCTGCACCCCCAACTTCTTGACAAGAACACAAAGTCTTTATTTAGAAAACAAAGAATTAAGTGCGTATCTAAGACTCGGAGTAATACTCATCCTGAGGAAGCCTGGCACAATATCCAGTCAACTGTAGAAACAGTGGTAAAGGGTGTCAGTAACCTAAAACCAAAGGTTATTAAATGCTGCTTTATCCGAACTAATTAACACAAGAAAATAGATTCTGGAGGGTTTCGAACACGACAGGAAACGAAAACTGACTAAAAGCCTTCGCGATGAACGTGAACAGCAGTATGGAGCAAAAGCAAAACGGATAGGAGTGGTATCAGAAGTAGACATTACCAGACAACTACTTACAGTCACTGGGGAAACGGAAAGCAAAATAACTTCCGAGAAGAACGGTGTTCCAATTACCTCTAAGAATACACGACCGCAACTTTGCACGAGACATAGTAAGAAGTGAGCCACACTAAATTTCCCCACCATCTAACACCTATCTGTAAGGATCATAGACATCGGTCCTTCAACTGCAGCTGAGGTTGCAAGGACTGTCTTTAATCTGAAACAAGGCAAAGCGGTGGTATCTGATGATAGAATTATATATGTGCTTGAGGATGGCAGTGACAAACCGTAGACTGAGATAAATTAGATATTAGACAATGTGTAGGAATCTGAAACATTGCGGCTGGAGTAGTCCCACTTTATAGAAAGGAAGACAAGTTTCCCTGCGATGATCATATAAGGACTAGTTTGACTAGCAGAGCATCTAGGTTCAATAACCATGAGCAGACTAAGTCGTGCTCGGGAGAAACAAACGCGTCAAAACTAGGCACGCCGGGAAGACAGGATGTATTGATCATATCTTCACCCTTTGACAGATACCCTAAAAAAACTATTCGGAAAATGTATAATATTTATAGATGAACAAAGTTGCAAACTGTAACTCCGCAAAATCAACCTTTTGTTAAATAAAAACTCACAGTTAACTCAAACTTTATTGCTGGCATAGAATGATGAAATTGACGTTTGCTACGACGTGATCGAATACCTGAATTTGAAGATGGACAGGAGAAACCTCTAGGACTTGGCAGCTAAATGTAAAATTAATAATTTAAGAAACAAATTCATTAATGAGAGGACGTTAACTTGATTATTTAAAAGGTAATAAATATGATACTAAACTAAAACCTAATTACTTGCTATGTACATATATATGTCAAAAAAAGTAGCGAGCTTCCCAGTAACCTAGAGGACCAGGGTTTGATCCTCGATGCGGTCATGTGTGCATACTGCTGAGGAATTTCAAACAAGAACGAAACAGCTGTCCATTACTCCGTCGTTTTTAATGTTTCGTCAAATCGCATCACTTTGTGATCTAACTTGAAATGAATCGAATCTCTGCGAACTAAAAGTTGATAAAGTAGCTATTCAACGGAAACATTACTCTAAAACCGGCGTCGTCCACTGAAAAGCATGTAAGTTTTGATTGCATTTCTCTTAACAAATTTAGACACGACTTGAGAATCACTGCTAAATTAGTCACTGTTAGCAAAGAAAAACTGAAAACAGAAAAACAAAATGTCGAAGAATATGAAAATTAATAATTTATATCATTACTTTCTGATCAAACTACATTTTCATTTATTTATCTTTTTAGTTACAATTTCATAAAGTGGAAGTGTGGCGTGCGCTACTGACAAGAGTTATCAGTAGTATATGAAGAGACGATCATAGGGATAAGAGTATCAAATAGCGGAAAAATAGATTTGACGTCAAAGAGAGCAAATGAACCAGAATCGCAGTAAAACATGGCAGACACAAAAACAAGACAAAGAAACGTAACAGGAAGGACAGAAGTAGCACAACACGGAAGATCTGTGCAAATGACAATTTCAATATAAAGCATATATATGTATACATCAAACTGCAAATAAGCATTCCTTTACGAATTCTCTTGTATTCTCCCACTACAGAAGAAGTGCGTAGAGGATTTCTGTGACATGAGATTTAATTTACTAGTTAGGTGCTCATTTATGTATTATATTATGAAACTATCAACTATCTCTTGTGTTACATTTTAGTATGAACTACTCTGATATTAGAACAAGACATATAAGCGAACAGTATTGTTTCCGATTAGATCCTCTTTAGACTTTACTCTAATTTACATAGATTTATATTTAACAATTTTAACTAATGACGGTGATTTTGTGGATCAAATAATAATAATAATAGCAATAATAATAATAATAATAATGGTAAATGTTTTGAACGTCGTTAATAACGATGAATGTGATGATAACAGAGTATTGATAATAAGGTTTATGCAGGTGGTGATAAGAATAACAAAGGTAGTAATATGTGTATATATAGACAATTCAATAAATAAATTAGGTCAAATCTTAAAAGTTACGTAATACTAAAGGTGAAGTGGACAGATAATCGGAGTTTATATAAATATCATAAAAGTACGAAGGAAATGGAAAATAAGAAAGGGTGGGAGGGTTTTGATTAGAATTTATCTAGGCTAAGCAATGGAGAGACAAAGGTAGAACAAACTTCTTTTGTACGCAAAGACTAGGATTGTTCTCTCGAATTCCCATAGCTTCGGCTATGTGTAAAAGGCGGGTTCGAATTCCGTTCGAAAGGCCTGATGGAATGCGATAGATAACTTTGAAGGCACTAATTTTGTCCACTTGGTGACCGCTATCAATCAAATGAGCCAAAATAGAACTTCTTATAGATTTTATTTGACCTTTTCCGAACCATGAAGGAAGATGCTCATTAATACGTTTGTTAAGCTGTCTACTGGTTCGTCCTAAGTGATCTTATAATTTCACTCTCATTTTTTACATATTTAACAGTAAAATATTTAGCGAAGAGACTGTTTTGAACGAATTTTTTATCACCGTGCAACTATATATGGCTTTTAAGGAAGTATCTCAAGTGTGCAGCTACATTTTGAATAACGCCAAGAATTTCATTTTGTAATAGATATAACACGACTATTCTTTTTACTACTGCGAAAGACAGGATTTCCAAAGCGTCATGAATCATATTTCACACTACTCTTTTCACTCCTTTTTGCTCCGAGTGGAACATAGAGCTTCAAGCTTGAGCTCCGAAGTTTCAGTAGTGGTTGTTTTTTCTCAAAGGGTGGAGTTGCTGGTATCATGCTTACCCTTCTCTCTTTACCGGGCTTACTATCAGCTAAGTAAGGTTTAGGAATTTATCAGCCGGGAATCAAACTCAGGACCACGCGCGTAGTTGGTGATAACTCCACCATACCATTCTACATAGTTGAATCTATCTCCCTAAATATGAGTAATTACTCCTTATTTTCGACAGCTGTCTTCCATGAAAGCAAAATTAATAAACACTTACTATGTCAGATCAAATGTTAACTTACAGAAATATTTAAATCAAATTTATCGAAATAAATTCCAATGATGAAGACAGGAACCATTGAAGCAGAACGACGAAGACGTCTAATTTTTCGACGTCTTGTTTGCGAATACTCCTCTTTACTTGGCCTATGAATTCTCGGTTGTGATGTATTATCACCAAGCTCCTCAGAAGAACGTGAATCACTTAGACCAGGTGTATAATGAACATTTGAAGGACTCGATGCCTCATCATAACTGGGATCATGAACTGATAACTGTGTGGCAACTTCTTGTTCATATGTATCCTCTAAGATACACTGTATGAGTTGTTTTAAACACTCAGTATCTGCTTGAGGTTCTTTTGTGTAGTTATCTGTAGGCTCATTATCTGATTCATCCGAATCTTCATTCATTGGGAGAATGGTGGGAACAAACGACCAAACCCATGATGCCCAAGATTGTGTCTCTGTATCTGATTTGTCAGTTTCATTGTTTAATTCACCAATTTGTGTACAGGAATTATCTGAACTACCTGTTTCACTCTTTGTATTGTCACTTGAACTAGAGTCTAAGATAGACCAGTCAAATGTCTCTGTGCTTACACTCAGAAGAACTTGTATAAGTCTGCATAGTAAAGGAATCTGAGCTGGACTGATATGCGCAACAAACGTTTGACAATGTATTTTCAAATTAGTCAGCACTGTTTGGTTAATTAATGATGATTTAGCATTTGGTATACAAACAACTTGGAGGAAACATGACATACTGAATCGGTAGGCTATAGGATCTTCATAAACTTCAACGTAACCATTGGGTCCAGCACGATCAAGACATACAGTGAGGTCAAAAAACTGCACATGACGATGAATTGCATAGGTAGAACGAGGATTTATATCAGCGAAAATAGGATTGCCGTTAGAATCAGTTACAAAGGAATCAGCTTTGTTCACACTAACCGACAAAACAATGTCTTCTTCGATGAATTTTAAGTTTAAATTGTGAACAACAAAATGAATACTAGAAAGAAGTCGATGGATATAAACCTCTAAATAACCAGGTGGAACATTTGTTGGCATAGATTGACTTTTATATGTACAGAGATCGGCAAAATTACTTGGAAGTTGATTATTTTGATTGTTTCTTTTGACGTCACGTTTTTTCAAACCGAAAATACATTCCACAGTATGCAATGAGATAACAATGCATTCAGAATTCAGCTTAGTCCATGGTACATGAATTCGTAATTCATGTACACGACCAGAACGAAAATTGACTGGAAAAGGAATAATATCCTCCAGAAAATCTAATCGTAAATCTAACTGGGTTAATATAAGATCACCATCCCATATAGACATTGCGAATTGATCTTCACGCAGTTTTACATATTTGTTGAGATAACTCATAAGCAATTTTCCAACATAAGTTTCCAACTTGAAAAATCGTTGCATTTTGAACTGATTTTTTTATTTGTTAATAATTACATCAGTAAGAAATCACAATTAATCGACCTAAAAACGAAAAGTTATGCATAAAATAAGTGGAAGAACAAGTAACTATTAAAATACATGCTGCATTATTTAAATCAACAGGCATTTTGGGAAGGAAAATATAACAACATAGATTTATCGTACACGAACAGTTTAACTAATAGACAAATCAACGGAATACATTGAATTATTCAAGAGATACTGGCAGAAATGCAAGAGTATAGTTCCATAAAATGTAGTTCTATATCAGATAAGTTTATCTGATATAACACTCACTAATGCAGTAGCAAATGCATGTAAATGCAAGGCAACGGCCGAGCTTTTTTCTAGATTATCAAACTTAGCAGGGTCAGTCATTCTAACTCCAGCTGAATTTCTATGTTCCGGTAATCTCACTGACACCGAATACTAGTTTAACCCATGTAACTGACGTCACAGTCACTACATGACATTTGGTAAAGTATAATATTGTCTTTCCAAATTGGATCTACCAAGCCTTTAAGCCTACAAAGTTTGGTTCTAGGTGAATTGTTTGGTTTAAAGCCACCCAGATTCCAGACTTCACAAAAGTCTTATGTACGGCCCCTGAGGTTCCTTATTTATATGGCAGTACTATCGAGGATTTGAACTCCATATTATTTATATTATTTTCATCATTTTCATTACTATAGTTATTTTCTTTACGCGTCTTTAGATATTTCTGAATAAATTTTGGTAGGTAGTTATTCACTAGCAATACTTTCCTTATTTATTTGATTTCATCATTCAGACCTTACGACTGTGGCAAAATCTAAGTGTGAACGGTTAAAAAATTCAAAACTACTGAATTCCACTTTCTCCAAATTATGGTCGGTCTTAGGTATGTGATTATCTCCTTCCACACAGCGCAACTACCTGGTCAGAATCATCCATTTCACTGCATACCAATAAAATCATGGTATTAGATGGTTGGAGGCAATCGGCAGGAAGCCTTTGACCTAGGTTTCGTGCTAGTTGGCACTCGTCAGCAAGGGGTATCTGCAACCTTGAAGGAACTCATGTCCCTTCTGATATCCGAACCCGCATCACCCAGTGTTGCAGTCAGAGACGTTACCACTGAGCTATTCGGGCTCGCGAGTGACCTCCTGTAGGACAGTAGTGTGTATTTTGATTGGACACTTTTTTTCTTTGGTGCAGACTGAATTCTATCAGTCAGGTTTGCAATGTGGCCACCATCCTAGGTAGCTCGCCATCACGGTGCACATGGATTTGATGATATTATCATGGTACTTATGCTCTGGTCTGAGGCATACTATTGGTAATCTTACAAAAATGTTAAACATACTGAATGTGAATACCATATTTATACATGCGCTTTCTGCCATTCAGTACATGTTTAGTAAGTGATGTAAACCACAATATAACGCTTAGTCTGCTTAAAAATTGTTATTAAGTTTCACTTTAAAAATCGAATTGAGTTATGATTTAGCTCTTAGACACCATTAAATGTGCACTGTTATGCACCACTTAGGACATCGATTAGGTTCCATTAACTACATACAGAATATATATGTCAAAAAACTGCATTCAGCATGAACCGATTTGTGCTGTCTCTTAACGAACTAAGGACAATGTGAATACATCAGAAAAATACTAACGTGTACCTTTAAGTGATAAATTTTTGATTTTATTCATATGTTAATACTAGATTTTTATAAGTTACGAAATATTCTCTGGGTTCTGTTTAAGTATTTTACAGAATCCCATCAGATTTTACGTTCTCGGGGGAAATAATAACTTCAGACAAGACCAAACCATTATCATCAACTCAGATATGGAGGCTAAAATTGCACTTGAGGAGGAAAACAACTGGTTTGCCGCTATACATTTATGCAGCTAATAATAATAATAATTTTTGCTTTATTCCAAAAACAGTATTAATGATACGGCAAGGAATTTTCAGCATTCAGTACAGTATTGCATCTAATTTACTCAAAAACGACAACAACAAACAAAAAAAATAGATAAACGGAATAATTAATACATAATAATGATAACAAAACGTTTTTATAGGAGCTATGTAGCTATGTAGTTGTCCATCTTCATTGTATAATTATTTTCCAAAATAATTTCAGTCCCTAAAACGTATGTAGCAGTAATTTCTCGTTTACCACAAATGCAACTGGATTTATAGCAGATTATTTTACAACTGTTCTCAAAGGAGGAATTTACTGATAACACGTGCAAAACAAAAACACTTGAAATGAAAAATACATTTATTAGCCCGAAGTTAACTTAAGGCTGCTATTTCAGGAACGAAAAGTATCCCAAAAACCATTAATATGTTTATATTCCCTAAAAAGATTCCTTCGCAATATATTAATCTATTTAAAAATAGTGCATCAACGAAGGTTTTGATCATATGTGGTGAATTACAATGATGATACAGATACGCAAAAGAAAAAAATTTTGAAGATACTTCATAATTAAGTTGAAATGAAACTAAAGATTATGGCCTACGCATGAACAGCTTGTGAGTCATTTTATGATAAGCGTGACCTTGAACGGCCACGTAGCGATAAGGGCGATAGTCGCGGTAAAGTGTAACAGTAATATTCATTTATGAAAACAAACACAAACACCGTCGATGATATCTGATGATTAATCGAATCCCGATAACAGTAAAGAATAAACACTAACCTCAGACGATCTTGAAATAGCCAATCTGGTTATTCTAGGTGAAAAGTGGTCCTTAATTTATAAAGAAGTGTATCTACAATATATATATATATATATATATAATAAAAATGAATCATATAAGGTACATATCTCTAATATGCTGCGAAAACTGTTCCCATATTCTCATAGAAATGGTTATAGATATATCGAACCAATGTATTCTATTTCTTACTTAAGAATGCGTAACTGCATAACACCAGTGACCCCGAAGTGCATTTCTAATTGTTGTTCTGTTTTAGCTTACTAAATGTCCTGTGGTCACACGAACAACATCACGGAGTGTTGTGCACTATTCATGCGTCCTCTCCTTTCGCCAAACCTGTGCTTGTCAGTACCTTTCAATTTCTAGAATTTTTCAGGTGGATTTTATTGCTGATAAATATTAGCAGTGTTACCTAATCATCCATTGTTTAATCTTCAAAAACCCGCAGGGATCATACACCCAAAGTATTCTTCATCATTCTATTAATGCACAGATTAAAGTGCTACCGTACTCGATAACATGCTGCAGTGAGACCTTTATAATCTGTCGAAAAGAATAATGATAAATGGGATCTCAGACACCAAATTTTCTGTCAAAACGAACATTCACATTACCAACCAACAGCTTGTAATATTGTGGAAAATTAATGATACTTTTCACCCTTTATTTCCGAAGGCTCGACAGAGGGCGAGAGGAGCAGGTAAAACCTAGTCAAGCACATGGAAAAACATTCATCGTGTTACTTGGTTACTCGTCCCATCATTCTGAATTCCCCACTTATTAACTACACATGAAGCCGTATAGGTTCATATCTCATAATTATAGCATACCTCCTCACTATCAAGTAATATGCTGGATGTCCATATGATATTTTGTTAACCTCGATCAATATTCTACAAGGCAGACAAAATTTGATCATCGGTCGTCGCTCAGGGAATATGGATTTTGTAATTTCTGTGAAAATTAATCACTTTTTAACTTGCATAGTCAATATTATACCTTCACGATATACAGGAATATTCTCAGTGGTGAAAGTTTTATGAGAACATGGCTTACTTACGTGGAGGACCTAACCTGAAGAATATCCTAGTCTTATGTTAGGATTATAATACATTTGAAAACCCTTATGAATCTTTGCATGAAGGACATGAGGTAGGAGTTACCTTCCCCTTGACTTCGGCCCACTTCCTAGCAGCATACATGACCACGTCGTCTCCTATTTCATTATCCCAAAGTGAGGCGAACTCATCTGAAGTAAACGAGACTCGTCCCTCAACTAAGTGAAGTCGAAATATGTACTAAAATACACTTACCTGACAATAGTATATCTTTATTTCATATAATAACCTCAGAGGATCACTAATCCAGGCCAGTTCATTATCACTCAACCACCGTTGTGTATTACAGATGTTTACAAGTAAGTCGCTTTACAACTCACTAAAATGACCAGCAGCAAAGGCTCTTGTCCCTCCTAATCCACAAACGCCTAGTCATCAACTTCATCATCAGCGTGCCTTTGGCGATATTCATCTATTGCTTTCTGATAAATAATCCACGAAAATTGTGGGCCGAAATTCTAAAATACGTGTTCGTGGAAACGCAAATTTTGTGGGAAGTAGCTCAAACTCCAAACTGCACTACCAGCTTCCTGTCTAGATCATACACTTAATACATGTGAAAGACGTCATGTTAGAGAACGCTGAGTTTTGTAATTTAAAACGAAATTCGAAAGCAAATTAGGGAAATACAGACGAAACTAGGCATACTTGATTGAATGGCATGATGAGTTCAAATATCATTAAAGACCGATGTGATATTGAGCAGGTTAGGACCGTTGAATGCAACTCACGAAAAGCTTGCGGATTTAGACCAGATTGTCTACCTTTTCAAGAAACATCCCCAAATTTTTCCGGATAATCGAAATGATGCGCGAAACCTCATTGACTGCTTGGCCAGAGAGGTGATGAAGCGTTTGTCTTCACTATGGTCCACACTGTATAGGACTCAACTTGAAGTCTTTTTCATTCACATGAAACGTCAACCATGCCACAGAAATTCCTAACCTGGTTTCTGATATAATAATAATAAATTTATCCCTGTTTATGCAGGAACATACCAGTTTTACAGGCATGGATAAGTTATTATATAAATTACACATATTTCGATATATGCTGAATTTACAGTTGGCTTGTTCTTTCTGACATTAGAGTCAGTCGGAACAGTCTGCAAAATAGTCTGTTTGTGTAACACATAAAGAGATATAGAAATATTGTCTTCGCATTAACAAAAGACCCAGACATCAGATGAATGTTATACAAAT